CCTTTCAGCGACAGAATCGTGTTTTATCGTGTTTCAAATTGATTTGTGCAAAATAAGAACCATTGCAAGGTAATTTTTACGCAGTCCTGTGAAGTTTTGTTGAAAATATTTGAAAAAAATTCGATCCAATATTAAACGTACACACACACACACACACACACACACACACACACACACACACACACACACACAATCTTGCGTTTTATAATAAGATGAAATAGAGCGTTTAAAAAACATAATTTGCTAATGCCACCTGAAAAAAAAAACCTTATGACTGAAACCCGGGTAAATATTCCTATTTTTTAATATCATCTGTTCCACAAGTTAATTTTTTTCGAATTTGTGTACTAAGCACTTTTTAAAAATATTCGTTCGCTGGCCTGACCGACAACTTTATCATATGTATATATAGAAATCTTGTCAGAAAATATGCCGGAGGACGCATATTTTTTAACAAGATTTCTCGAATATTCAGGCAAGTAGATGTAATTAAATAAAAAATATTGCTTAATTAAATAAACAGAACATTTACTTGAATATAAGTATCCATCTAAAATAAAGTTTAAGCAAAACAAATTTATATATATATATATATATATATATATATATATATATATATATTCAAATATATTCGACAGTATGAAGAAAAAATATACGGAAAAAACAAACAAAAATCCCTAATATGCAATTATGCTGTATTAATGTTAATATAATGTCAACGTCAGACGTTTCGGGTCTAGTAATATATAATATCTATCTACGTACGGTGAATACTAGACCTCTTTTTTAATATTTCCCTTTTTAGCAAGATTAATGATCGACAAACGTACATATAAGTTTTGATTAAAATAAAATTTTTTCATTTTTCATTCAAAATACTCTATTTTAGGAATACGTTTTCACAACATCGCCCCACGTGACGACGAAGTGATCATATTAAACGGAACGCTGACCTTGAAAAAAATTTCAGTTGTCTGTTCTGATTAGTCTTACCTTATGTCCATCGTCTTTTTCATGTTGAATTAAATATAGTCTAATGTTAATTATGTTTTATGAATATCTGAAGATGGTCAACTAGACCGAAACGTCCGACGTTGACATTATATTAACATTTCATATTAGGATTTTTGTTTGTTTTTTTCCGTATGAATGTTTTTCTTCATATATATATATATATATATATATATATATATATATATATATATATGTGTGTGTGTGTATTCATTAAAACGCTTAATAAACAATAATGATCAACCAAACAATAAAAATATCTTACAATAACCAGAAGTATCACAAACGGTAAACCCCAAAATTGCACCTGTAGATTGCAGATGGTATGAAACTCCTGAGCAGTGCAATTCTTATGTATATTTTAATATATTAAATAACTTTGTTATTTAACATTGAAACTGCATTTTCTTACACTATAGGATACATACGAACTCGTATATTCACACACACACACACACACACACACACACACACACACACACACACACACACACACACACACACACATAATACATATATATATATCAAACGTTTTTGGTTGTAATGTGGATTTAAAAAATATTATGCATATTTGTTATCGAATATTGGTTCAAGGGGCAAAAGGTGGAGATTTTCACATATTATTAAAAAATAATTAATTTTTTTCTTCATGTGGGAATCTCCACCCTTTGCCTGATGACGATTGCGAGACCGGAAACACGTGTAGCAAAATTATGGAAAATAAAGCATAATATTTTAAAAAATCAAAAATATTATTCAGGATTTCCTATCCTGTTCCCAGATCATGAGCAGTTTTAGAATTATCAATTGTAAATCCCTTTGCGCACTAACCCTAAACATTTTCTGACTTTTCCTCGGTCACATTACCTGTGTATACAATATCGATGCACTCTTCGAACGATATCTTCGCCGATTCTGGTTGTTTTGTGTTTTTTTAACCAGAACTTTTGACGACCATCATTAATCAATTGTCAGAGATCGCCACATTGCCTTTTTGTGAAATTATCGTTGACGCAGTTCTTCGGTTTCCCGAAAAAAAATAGACTTTTCGAAAAAAAATATAATCTTCCTATGTTGATCGGTGTATCCTTCGGGATATCTTCTAACCCTTCTTTTCTGTTTTCAGCATTTTCCCGTTCATTTTTTATGGCTAATTAATTAATTATCATAGCTAAATAGTGTCACATATGTTACATCAAAAATGTCCATTTTTACGTCAACTTAAAGACGTTATTACGTGTCATCGTATAATCTGAAAATCTTTGATTATGTCCAATGGATAATTTTATATAAACGAATTTGTATCTTAAAAAACACTTTCTATTTATAGTTTATTAAATTTCACACCTCCGATGTACGGATTTGTCTTTAAGAAAATCTGAGATCGGGAGACATGTCCGTAAACTTTTTATTTATTTACTATTCATGCTCGAATAGTATATCAAGCACTTTATTTACATATATTTACTCGCCTTAAATGCGTTATCCTCCAGTAATTTACAGGTTTTGCTAGGAGTAAACCATCTTTGTCATTATTAGTATACTATACCATACTATACTCTCTCTCTCTCTCTGTCTCTGTCTCTCTCTGTCTCTGTCTCTGTCTCTCTCTCTCTATATATATATGACTTATGTGAGTAAAATTTGGCAGTTGCCTGAAATTTCCTTCAGCAACCTGAATCCAGAGTTTCGTGGAAGGACCCGTTCGTCCACTTTTCAGGGGGTATCAGCAATTTACTATATATATATATATATATATATATATATATATATATATATATATATGAAATTAAAATTTTAAAGTAATGGAAAAAAAGAGTAATATTTTTTTATTTTTCAGTTTTTCTTTTCTGGAGGACGATGTAAGTATTAATTCTATAACATCTATATTTTCCTTTGATATTTAGACAGTACTATCGCGTGTGTGTGTGTGTGTATATATATATATATATATATATATATATATATATATATTCTTGATATTTAGACTGAACTATCGTATATATATATATATATATATATATATATATATATATATATAATAAAATTCCTAGAGCAGTTCTGTCGATATGACAAATTGGTAGAAGAAAAATGACAATAGGAAAAACGTCTTAGTTTTTCCCGCTGCATTTCGTCTTCCGACTTTATCGAGGCAAAATTGAAGCGAAATGTTTTTGTTTTCATAGTTACATTAAAATCCAAAATTTAAATTATATTGTCGACATGGAAAAAACAAAACAAAAAACTCTTACTATAAAGTAAGTTAACTTTAACCAGAAAGAGGCTTATGCATAAGCGTTTCTTTTTAAATTTTGGATTTTTTATGATGATTTTTCTTATTGTCATTTGTATTCTATCATATATATATATATATATATATATATATATATATATATATATGTTTAATGAGATTAAAATTGTCACTTAGCTCATTCATGTTTCCTTCAGTATCCCGACTCCAGAGTTTCGTAGACGGGCCTTGTTATCCACTCTTCAGGGAGTATCAGCCAATTACTGCTTATATTTTTTTCAATTTTTTTTTTATACACATTTGGTACTGGTGTAAATTTTATTCTGTATTTTCTGCACGAATGTACGGCGTGATCATTTTGCCCTTTTCACCTTTTTTTTTTTTGCCAGTAGCAGAATTAGTCTGGTTCTGTTTCCGCTTCAGACATCTAACCTATTTTTTTGTTATTTATTTTTATTTATGGCTATTTTAGGCAATAAATATTTTACACACACAAACACCCCCCACACACGGACACACACACACACACATATATATTACCAATGATAATGTTTAAAAATGCTAAAGACTTATACATACACATGCTTCTACACACACACTCACACACACACACACACACACACACACACACACACACACACATGTATCCATACACATAAGTTCACTGGGCTATTAATTCGTTTTTTAATTGGGTTTGGTGATATAAATATTAATTGTAGGAATTTAGATTTATAATTAAATTTATTTATTATTATTATTATTCGCTTTTATATACGCATACAACTATTCGTGCGCGTATTTAGGTATACGTATGCGTAGATATATGCACACAGACGTTCTTACACAGCTACATGTACACTTAAGTCTTTTCTATTAGTGCATAAATGGCGAAGTTATTTAAATTTTTTAATTATCATTCTTTACGTATACACATATATAAGGTACACTTCTGCAAACCTACGCTAGTGTACTTAATTAAAATCATATGTTATTGTTAATAATTTATTTAATGTTTCATTTTTATTTTATTTTATGTTTAGTAGTTTATTTGTTTTTTTCCTTGGTGTTATATAATGAGGTATATATATGGTAAGTTAAGTTCATTTTTTTTTGTTTGTGTGTGTATATGTCCACATGTACATGTACACATACGTGCATAGGTGTATACTTTAATATTTGCTCGTTTATTTGTTTATTAATAAATTAAGTTTATATTATATATGTTTCTTTTATTTAATTATTTAAAGTTTGTATTATATATATATATATAGTCGGGTTTCGATCCTAGCTAGAGGCAAAACGGATGTCTAGCCGCACTGATGAGCTGTAAACAGCGAAACAGTCTGTCTGTGGATGATATATATATATATATATATATATATATATATATGTGTGTGTGTGTGAAAATATATAGAAAATAGGAAGGAACTCGTCAGGTAAATAATCCAAAGTTCTTTAGTATTTTTGTTATTATTTTAAAAAAAATAGTGCTCGATACAAAAGTAGAGCATAAATATAATTATTTATTTAAATCATATTTTAAATCATATTTGAATCATATTTTAAATAAATAAATTATATATATATATATATATATATATATATATATATATATAACGCTTATATTTATTTCTTTGTTATTTACTTTTAGTTAGTGCTTAGATATCAAAGTAAATATTATTTATTTATATGCCTATATTTACCTATTATTTCTGTTTTTTTGTTTAAGTGTTTATTTTGAATTTTAAAACTAATTATTGCTGATTTTTCCCTTAAGCATAATTTGCAACTTTTGCTGTCGATGCTGTATGGTGATGCTCTTGTTATAGTTTCCCATTTGATTGTGGCGGGGATATTGTTTTCTTTTTGACTCCATATATATTTTGATAGGGTTGTATTGTTTTAGTATTTTTCTTCCAAATGACATTGCACGTATGTAAATATTTTCGTCTGTGTTAATGTTATTATTCACAATGGCTTTGTATATTATGTTATTGTTTAAGCATTTAAGTGGTAAATTTTCTTTGTTTCTGTAGTTAAATTTAGTGGTGTTATATTGTTGTATATTATTGTTATTGTTGGAATTGTTATTGGTTTTGTAGAGAATTTTTATTGTACTTATTTTCTCCGTGTTATCGATGAAGTTGTATCTAATTTTGATTTTATTTTTGTTGAGAATTTGCTGTTTTTAGGGAAATGCTTCTCCTTTATTTATTTTAGAATATTTTTCCTATTTTTGTTTTTATTTTATTTCCGTAGGAGGATTGAACAAAATTATATTTCTTTTTCTGTTGTCTTTGTTTGAATTATTTTCGTTTTTGCATTCTAATTTGTTTGAATATCCGCTGTTTCTTAGGGCTGATTCATATGTTTTTTTAAAATTTTCATTGAATATATTTAAAATACTAGAATTTGTTGAAATTCTTTTATTTATAGGTATGGGTATTTGTTGGAACACGTTTGGGTGGGGGTTAGAATTTACATTTTTGATATTTAGACAGTATTATCTTATATATATATATATATATATATATATATATATATATATATATATATATATAATCAAATGGATAAATATAGGTAAATGTATGAGCAAGCGTTCGTATACAAATACATATATATATATATATATACCCTATAGTGTAAGAAAAACAGTGCTCACTGTTAAATAACAGAGCTATTTAATAAATAAATAAATAATAGAACTAGTTAATGGTTTAACACACCCTTCAACAAAAATGTCAAAACTAATATCGGATAATTTTTTTAATTTAATCCATAAGCACTTCAGTCATTCTCCAACGCTAAATAAGATTTAAAACAAAAACAACGCCAAAGTTAGCTACAGTTGTGTCAGATACATCGACCAGAATATATCACAACACAACTGTACCATTCTAAACAAACACTTCAACAACATATAAAACATTAACATCCTCGCAACTAATGAATGCAACTGCCGAAAACACAAACCCTGCCCATTAAACGGCAGATATATGACCAAATTGTTAATCTGTAAAGCTGAAATCAAATATGACAACGAGGTCAAGTTTTATGTGGTTTCTACTGGAAATCATTGGAAATCGTGCTTCTACTTCCACCAAATGACATTAGGCAATATCAAATATAGTAAAAGCAATGTCCTCCCTAAATTTTTCTGGAAACTGAAAAACGACAATAGAAACCCAACTATCACCTGGGAATGCGTAATGAAAGCTAAACCCTTCAGCGGGAAAGGCAACAGCTGTAACTTACGTCTTTCTGAAAAATTAATGATCTTAAAAATGCTTGCCTAGAACCAAATTTCTACTCAAGCACGTTGACCCACATTAATATAGTTTAGTCAGGCCCCTGAAGCACTGATACTGATATTATTTATAATTATTTATTTTTATTAATATTTTTTACTATCTTTAACTATTATTACTGTTATTATTATTAGTATTATTATTGCTATATAACTATTATTACTGTTATTATTATACTTATCTTACTCTCAGCTCTTAATCTTGCCATTACCAGTAACCAAATGTTTTTTATTATTTTTCTTTTTATTTTATTATCATTTTTAATTATCCTTTTATCACTGCAACTATCATTAATTTTATCAATAACTGTTCATTTCCTAAGGACAAAAATAGGAGTTACCTCCCTTTATCTTCTAATGTATTTTTAATAGTGGCGTCAGTTTTTAATGTATTTTAAAATTTCTTATTTTCTATTTTCAATCTTAAATGTAAATTTGGGCCTAATTCAAATTCTAGATTAAACTGCAATGCATTTAACATTTATGCTAATATTATTATCATTGTCATATTAATATTATTACTATTTTTCCTATATAACCATTATTATTGCTTTTATATTACTTTTACTTTTAGTCTTACTATCAACAACGTGTTTTGTTTTCATTATCATTATTATTTTTATTTATTATTATTTATATGTTTTTATTTTAATTTATTTTAATTTTTATCGTTATGTTTTATTTTTTATTCGTATCTTAATTTTATCACTGCATATTTTATTAATTTCATTATTGAGTTTCAAATAAAAAATAGAATTACCCCCCTTGATCATCAAACTTTTTCTTTTTAATAAGAGCGCCCGTTTTTATATTAAAGTTTATAATTCTTACTGTCAATCTTATTTTCAATCTTAAATGTTAATCTTGGCCTAAATTCTAATCCATATAAATACTTAACAACAATAATAATCCATCCTAGCAATAAAATATCTCGCGCTAACCAGAAGTAGTAAACAAACGGTGTCACCCCAAACTTGCGCTTGAAGATTGCGAAAAGCATGAAACTCCAAGTTGTGCAGTCAACGTTTGGAGTAGTATATGAAAAGGGTGGACAAAACTATATCTTATCAAAAACACCCCACTATATATATATATATATATATATATATAGTCATCCACAGACAGACTGTTTCGCTGCATCACTGCTCATCAGTGTGGCTAGACATCCGATTGCTTCAAGTCGGGATCGAAACCCGACCGATTTGGCATCCATCAGAGATTCTACCCACAAGCTATCGTCGACGACAGAGCGGAAGGGAAATCTTAACGTTTTTACTATGCGAAAAACGTCAGTAGATAGGAGAGCTCGATTTGAGTAGAAGAGCATAATATATATATATGATAAAACTATATTTTATTATATATATATATATATATATATATATATATGGAGAGAACGAACGAAGCTTACTTGACTGTGAAGCTATTCTTAGCCGAGAAGTTAAAGAACGCCAGATCAGACGATAATTTGTCTTGCAATCGAGGATACGGGTCGAATCTTTTTAAGTCGCTGTTATATTAACTTTATATTTTTATTATTTTTTTTTTTACTATAGTGTAATAATTTAAAATTTGAAAAGGGATGCATTATTTCCTTATTGGCCAAAGACTAATAAAGAAAATACTTCGTCTCAAAATTCAAGTCAATTATTTTGCTTTCATATTCACTTTCAAATTGTCTTTTAAAATATTTTTTTTAGATATGGACTGGGGAATGAATTGCATTAAGGGTCAGCCTTCAACTCCTTTACGACTATGGAAAGCCGCCCACGAACGATCATGCCTACATTACGGTAAGTTCTTCAAAGATCTTAGAAATGACTCTAAAGCTGGTGCCTCCTCCCCTAATATAGTCAGACGGAGATGGCCAAGTGCTGAAGTTAAAGTTGTTTTTATTGCAGGGGAACTGAGGTTTCAAAGAGGAAGTATTAAAGTCGATAGTGAAGAGGTGAAAAGTGTAATAGCTTAATTAAAATAACTTAGTTACCAATAATTGAATAAGGTTATTGCCATTATTTGAATGAAGATTCACTTTTTTTAGCTGTCAACAAAGTGTCTGGTGCTAATGATAAGTTTAAATGCAGATTAAGCCTTTAAGAATAATGGTTAGGAAGAATTCACTCATAGGTTGGATCAGTATGAATGATTTTACTTATTGACCCCTTACAGACTCACTGAATATCTAGATCTGATAGAAGATCTACATCGGTGCTGAAAGCCATACATGTTCCATCAAGACCGTAATACCGAAACATTTCAAACCTCACCAAGAGTACGACAAGACCCAATCTATTTAATCCTTTTCAAGACTCTGTTTTGCACAGATACAAACACTGATGTTAACTGATTATTTAAACATTACAAACGAATCTAGTAATAGAAAACCGCGTTCCTGATTTTCAATGATCGTGTGTGTGTGCGGTGGGGGGATATTCCGATGACATAGATATTCATAGTTGAAATAAGAATGATCTTGAACAAAAATAAATCACCATCCTCTACTAAGTGGTCTAAATAGTAGGACTCAAGTTAAAACTTTGGAAGTAATCGTTTCCACTAAAGACTGGAAAAATGAAGATATAGTGAAAAAATGGGCTTTCTATTTACTAATACTTCCGAAGAAATAGAGAGAGAGAGAGAGAGAGAGAGAGAGAGAGAGAGAGAGAGAGAGGAAAAATACTGATGTAGTTGCTGCAGCCGGGACAGTCACTACCGAATGGTTTTCTACAGCCATACCAGACACTGCCCTACCAATTTAGACTGAAGCAAGACTTTCCGGACACAGGTCTACAGTCTTGTGAGACTAACTCGGTTCCCCCGTATGATCACCGGAGTTATAAACTTGGAGGTACGGGTGGTGTAATGGATGACGGCACGGCCATTGCAGATCAGAGAGGCGAGTTCCAATCCTAGCCGGTTCCGTTATATTGACGTACACGCAAATACCCTTAGGAAAGGTATGAATCTACGTATGAATTAGTACAATTTGTATCAGTAAATCCTTATTATCTCCTATTTTCTTTACAATCTAAAAATAATCCACAAAAGGTTGATAAACCGTAAAAAACAATCAATCACAGAGCCTTATTTTGAATCATTTGTAAATATGCTCTGATAGCGATTTAATGTTGTTTTTCTAATATTTTATTTTTTTTGTTTTTACTTTTTTAATCATTTCACCCCAAGCAAAGCAACAAAGCTGTTAAGACGCAAGGGGGTTATTGAGTGTTAGGGAATATGAGAAAAACATTAAGGGGAGAAAACAACAAGAATTAAGAAGACGGAAGATAACGATTGACATTGCATTTAAATTTTTGAAGATCAATGCTAACTGGGATGAAAGAAACCGGAATAGAGTTCCATAAGCAAGAAAGGCAGTAGAAGAAACTGTCAGCATAGAACTTACGGTTACATCTAACCATTTAAAAGGATGAGACCTTGTCCCTAACCTAATACTGCGTTTAAGTTCATAAAGCCTAGGTTCCATAGAAGAGAGAAATTCATCAGAACAATTACCATGAAAGTATTTATAGAAAAGGCACAAGGAGGCTAAATTACTAAAATGGCTGAAGCCGAGATGCCAGGTCAAGAGCAATAATATTGCAGGTTTTTCTATGGATTTTATCAAGAATAAATATGGAGAAGGAGCACCAGACCAGATGTAGCGGCAATATTTAAAGCAATGATAAATGGTAGTTTCATAAATATGTAAGTTAAAATCCTGGAGAGAAAAATTGCCTCGCACGACATAGGGAACCAAATACGTATAATATTGGTCATAAAGTACTCCATTTTTGTTTTGCAATTTCAGTTTAAAAGTCCTTATAGTTACTTGTTTTGTCATATTCTTTAACAGTCATATTTTCATCTGATGGCGTTACCATATCAATGAGAAAGAATTTTTGTAGTCTTCAATCACTATGCCTGGTCTACTCGTTTTTATATGACTGTCAGCATGAATGGCAAAGTGCCAAAGAATAGTGTCCTCATGTCAAAGGTTAAGGGTGATTTTTATACTATTTTTCGGTATGTGGTGCCTTGTAATACTGAGATATCCTCCGGTGAATATATGGTCTAATCTAATCATGTCATTGTTTTCCTTTGGTGTCAAGATTGCATTGGACAAATTATTACTAGCTTCTTCTATATGCCGTGTCCTTTCGGGATGTATCTGATAATGGGTCTCTGCATCTTCTTGTTCATTGTAACCCTTAGTAAAGTTTGTCTTTTTTGTTATCTCTCCTAGCCCCTGTTCTGCCAACCAAGATCGTTAGGTAGGTTATACGCTGCTTTCCTCAGTCACTCCTGCTGACATTGTGTCCTGTAATTTTCAAATTTTCCAAGCTCTCTATTTTCAACATTATGTGCCCAAGAAATTTCAACTGCCTTGTTCTGATGCTACGTATAAGGGTCCGAACCTTTCAAACATGAATTGAACCAGTCCTACTGTATGGATCGGAATCTTGAAAGACGACTGGATGGAATATATACAAATCTACTTAGAAAAATCCAGAACATCTGTTAGAGATCCCATGCAACACTTAACACGTTTTACAGAGAACTGAAACCAATCTCTCTTAAGCTGAAACAAAAACAATTACAGTTTGTCGGCTACTACCACCAAGCGGACAGGGAAATCGTTTCATTCTTACTCTTATGGCATCCTTCTGGAAGTGTCTTTTCCCGAAAATTAACTTTCCCAGACACCATAGATTGGGACTTAGGGTTGGACATTGGGGATCTGGGGACAGTAATGCTGGACCTAACAGTGTGGAAACGGATTGTCTGTGGAGTTCCGACCAACCATACGGAGGTCAAAGGATGATGATGATGATGATGATGATGATAAGAGTCCTTTTTGTTTCAATTTTCTCTAAAACTTCGTTGTTGCTCACATGTTTGTTTCATGGTATTCTCAGCATCCTTAATACTCGTAAAGAAAAAACAACTGAATTATTTACGTGTGAATCGGTACTTCTGTCTTGGATCAGTGTAGTATTTTATGCGCTCTGCTTTTGTTATACTAGAACATACCTATTCTATTGTAATAGACTCTCCCACTTATAATAAATAGTAGTAGTAGCAGTCGCCGGGGGCTCAGTGAGTTGGTCTGAGTTCAGTCTGAAGTCGGACGACCAGCTGACCGGTTGAACTCTCTGCCTTCGGGCGGAGTCTCGTTCGGGGAGGTAAACCGGCCCTGAGCCCGTTTATACAGGTTCACTGGGCATATTTTTGGGCCGAACCCACGGGCTCGGAGAACCCACAGTAAATAACCGACCTTGTGTCACATGCTGCCCCAGTGGGGGAAGGGTGACTGAATATCCTCATTGGAGTTGATGAGTCAGCCGATGTCGGACATTAAAGTATCAACCATCACGACTAGATTGTTACGTCATTAACTCTTATTTCAAGTTCCTAACGTTTTGTACGTCGAACCTTTTAGCCTCCACTGTGAAAACTACTCTACAGATTTGGATCAGAGTGCAACTCTTTGGTTTTCTGGCTGGCATCAGATTGTAAAAACTGTTTCTTTTCCTCTGCTGTGTTCCTGTGCTGTATAGCGGGGACATCAGAGTCGCTTTTATATCTTCGAGAAGTTCGCAACTTGCGATCAGATGAGTCCTATCCTGGTGATTCCGACTCTGCGCCAACAGCTTTCTCATTGCACCAACGAGGGTTGGATGATTCCGACGCTAGCGCGGCAGGGGTCACAGTGACCTGGAAAATTCTGGCCATGGCCCAAATGTACGGTAAATACATTTGGCCTAGCAGCTTAACACAAGTAAAGCAAATTAATAGATTTTTGGATGAAATATCTTGAAAAACTATTTTTTGTTCATATTATCGATTTAGTGACATACTGAACTAATGTCATTCTTAATGTTGGCTGATGTTTGAAGAATTTTCTTCGTTTATTTTCAACGAATTAAACGGGTGAATCATTTATTATGTTTATGTATCTTAATATGTTACATCAGAAAAGTTTGTTATTCATTAAATAGCTTAGTTTTGGCACAAGGTCACAAGTAAATACGGCCTTGTGGGTGATGATTTATTTTCTACTCTACAATTTCTCTCACACTGGTGTAACATCGCAAGCCTCATGATAATTAATAATTTCATTCCAAGCAAGGCAATACAGCTACTAAGGCGCAAGGGGGTTATTGAGTGTAAGAGAATATTAGAAAAGAAAAAAATACACTATTAAGAGAGAACAATAAAAGAACAGGAATTAAGAGGACAAAAGATGACGATCGGCATTGCATTTAAATTTTTGCTGATCCAAGTTGACTGAGAAGCAAAAAGCCGAAATAAAGTTCCGCTGCAAATTTTCTAACGAGCTACATTACTGACTTTTACCATTTCAGAGCCTCACATCCATGCAGCCTACATTGGGAAGAATCAACCCCATTTCCTTCGTATTCCATTAGTAAAGAGGAAGTTACATTCGAACAGTTTCTTCCCATGAACAGCTACTATGTGGAACAGACTCCCGAGTGGATGCTTACTCGGTTACTACAATCTTAACCTCTTCAAGTTCTCCGATCGTCACAGTTTTGATCTGTTTCAGTTTCCGCGTCCTTGTGGGTGATGAATAATTTTGCACCTTATAGCTCCTTTCCTATTGAAGGAAGGTTGCAATCCTCTCGCTGCTCTATCGCTATTTCCATAGAAAGTGTTAAGGCGGACTCCATTCCTTAGTTCCGTTTCATGGCTAAGACCCGCCATACCACTCACATTATAGCGAACCACCCTAATTCTCTTCATATTCCATTGGTGAAGAGGAAGTTCTACTCTACGGGATGCTGTTTTATGGAACCGACTCCCTGGTCATTATAATCTTAACCTGTTCAAGTCTAGAGTTATCTTCCGCACATATCCCCATAAACTGTGCCTCTTACACTATAATTTTCTATCTCGAGTGGCTTTTGGGCATTGTACAAGATGACCATCATTGTAAAAAACAAAACAAAAAAAAAAAAAACTCCTCATAATCTGCCCTTCTAACCTCTTCTTATGACGTTCATACCACAACCTCATTCAGTAACTCTCTTCGTGACTGGCTCTTGGATCTTATACTGAGTGAAGAAAAAAGAAAATGGAGCGCTCAGTGAGGATCGAACTCACTACTAATAACTAGAAGTCCAGCTTGTGGATTATTCTGCCAAAAAAGACGATATATATTTGCAATCACAATTACCTTGTTTTACTAAGTGAACTTAGAATAATGTTTCTCAGAATGGCAAGTGGCCAGGTGTCAGAATTCTTTAAAAATGCCATGTCCATTCAGGATGTAAATAATCATGGCTCTTCACAGATACCTTTTCTTTATTATCTATGAACTACAACGTCTTCTCGAGAAAGGTAGTGGAGTGGTTGTATGTTGCCTTCATCACAGTTTCGGAATTCAGAGTTTTACTTCTCTTGAACTGGTTTCCATTCAAGGTTAAAGAGCCCAATCTACTGTTTTTAATCCATATCTGGGGGGGGGTGAAGAAGAATAATAAGAAGAGATCGATTTATATCTTTCCCAAACGCATCAGTGTGAAAGTGATCGTAAAAGACTAGGCAAGAACCCAAATCGCCGATTCCACTTTTTGCGCTAAAAAACCGTTATACCACCCGAACATGACAAGGATCAACGGCTGAAAAAAGTTAAACAAATTCAATATATTTTAAAAAGAAAAATATTTGAAAAATTATTTTTTGTCAACATCAAACAAGTACAGAAGTTTAAAAAAATCCGAATGTGCATTGGATTTGCAAAAGCGGCATTTCAAAAGCTAAGCAAAGTATTAAGAAATAGGAAAATTTCGTTAGAAACAAAGAAAAAGTTGCTGGTTTGCTATGTGATATCAACCCTATTGAATCAAGTGAATGCTGGATAATCGTCACACATGAAGAGAAAACGGGACGCAACAGAAATGTATTTCTACAGAAGGATATTCAGAACTCTATGGACGGAGCAAGTAAGCAACGAGGAAGCAACGTGAAAATGGACACACTTATACTCAATATCAGATAGAGACAGATGAAATTTCTTGGATATGAGGAGGAAGGAGGGCTTGGAAACTTTACCCTTACAAGGCATATCGAGGGTGATAGTGGGAGGCAGCGAGTCAGCTATCTGACGAGGGGAGGTTTGGCAAAGGGAGAAACACTGCTAAGAGATACAAGAGATAAGAAGCTGTGGAGGGCCATGATGGTCCACGTCGTGAATGCACACGGCACATAGAAGAAAAAACTGTTTGAAGAATTTTCCTCGTTTATTTCCAACTGATTAAACGGGAAAATCGTTTACGATACGTTATATCTGAAAAGGTTACTATTTACTGAGTGTAGCTTAGTTTTTGCACAAGGTCACAATTTAAGGAGTGCTCAGTGATCTACAAATTTAGCTTATTGATATGTAGAAAAACAGCAATGTATTTGCATTTTTCATTACCTTGTTTTACTGAGTGATCTTAGTATAGCACTCAGAATGACAACCATATTAGTACACCTAGTGAGGATCGAACTTATTACTAATGATTATTGATGGTCATTGTATCAGGGAAGATGGCATATATTTATAATTTATATTACATTGTTTACGAAGTGATCATAGCCCTCTGAATGGCAACCACAGTAGTGCACCTCGTGAGGATCAACCTCACTAAATTACTTTGTGATAAATGTTTGCTAACCATCGAACCAATTTCCCTTTATAGAATATTACTCCAGTTGTCTTCGGAAATCTGGCGCACACTTCCAACTCTCCATCCATGTTCCTGAGACATTTGCCCCTTATTTCTGTGTACGCCATTGCAAGAGAAATGGATTCGGTTATGCGGCTCTAAATGAACAGAACAGGTAAGAATTCTTAAGACCTTCACGCTTCCGTGTTGAGTAGACAATAACTTCATCATGTTACCATAAGGTATTTAATAAGCTTAGCCAAACCTGGCACAAGATGACAAGAGTGTAACTCCAAGTAAGAATCAAATTCGCCACAGAAGTAATCATTTACAAAGATAACTCGCTAACTTTCTTTCAGTGAAATATTTTTTACTTCGTTAACGCATTTTAAGATAGTATTTTGAGTCGCTGTTCGATGAGCATTATTTATCTTGTGAGGGGAAAATTGATGGACATTTATTCATATTGTAAATTTTATTTTTAATCATTTCACCCCAAGCAAGGCAATAAAGCCACTCTGACACAAGAGGTTACTGAGGGTTAGAGAATATGTGAAAACTACTACTAAGTAGAGAGGACAATAAAAGAATAAGAATTAAGAAGACAGAAGATAGCGATTGATTAAAGTTGACTGGGAAGCAAGAACAGGCGAGATGTGCGATAAAAGAAACTTAGCGTAGAACTTTACAGTTGCATCTAGCCATTTCAATCTTGTAAAATGATGAGACCTTGCCGCCAATTTAGTACTGCGCTTACATCCATAGAGTCTGGGTCTTCTTTCTCCTTGTTTGCTTTTCTTTTATTGTCCTTTCTTCTCACTAAAGTTTGGTCCTTCTGTTTCACTTGCGTCTTAGTGGCATTATCGCCTTACATGGGTGAAATAATTAAAAAAATCTATTCTGTAGGATGGCTGTGACCAACCAGAAAATTAATAAGCGGTGGTGGTGGTGGTATACCCTTATAAACTCAAGGAAATTCCAAAATTAAAAAGTGGGGGATTTTTACTTGGCACCAAACAGAACAAGTCTAGTTTGTTATTTCCTCAGTTTAACTTAGACATAAGGCTACGCAGAATCGAGCTTGTAACACGGTAGACATTTAATTACTAAGCTTACCTTGGACTAGTTTAGGGCCATAGTATTAGGGTACCTTGTGCTGATCCTATACTCGTTTGCAAATTAGTTGAAGATAAACGCTTATTAACCATCACTCCAAAGTATGCACCTTTCTTATTTTGTACTATTATTTTCAAATTTGCTTCACCCCCATATAGATATTGTTTAAAATTTTATATACTTATAGGGGAAGACCCTCACTATCTGGGATAAAATATATAAAAAGTTTGAACACAGAAATCAACACTGCATGATGACAGAGTTTCACGCTTTAAACGATCATCGGCACCTGAGGTACTCCTCTTTGTGTAGGCTCTGTGTATAGGCCACTGAAGTCTGCTTGGAATGGAAGAGGGAAAGCGGTACTTTGCCGGTTTTTTGTTTAGGGCTAATGATTGTTTACAGTCACAACCTTGAGTGTATGTGATTTATTTATTAATTTTATTATATTTTATTTTGTTTTAGTTTTCTTTTTATTTGTTTTTGTATGCTTTTTTCGGTTCTAATGTTTGTCATTTTCATTTAAAGAACATTTATTAGTTTAAGTATATAGTTTATTAGTTTAAACTTTGGAGTCGTGATGTGGTTGTATAGATTATAATAGGAATTGGTTTTGTGTCTACTTTTGGAAACGCTCTTTTGTTTAAGAATTTATATTATCCTGGAAAGGAGATTATTGCAAATTTCCTCCTCTAGGCATTGTTTTCAGGCGTTGTTGTAAGTTTAAAACAGATTCCTATCACACTCAATGCAAAATCATCATGACTCCATAGAATAAACAGCTAACAATACACAAAATTAAAACTACCTAAAACTACAAAACATTAGAACGAACGAAAGTACACAAAATAAATAAATAAATGTAAGATACAAATAAAATATAATAAATAAAACTTAAGATCAGGACTATAAATAACCGTTAGCCCTAAACAAAACTAGTAAAACCAACTTCTCATAAGCTTTTATTGGCCTACGTCAAAGGGCCTACATAAAGACGAGTAGCAGTCTGATTCTATCTATCTATCTATCTATCTATCTATCTATCTATCTATCTATCCATCTATCTCAGTCTATTCATATCATAAAGTGTATTCTTGGAGAATAAGAAAGAATATTATTACAATCTTTCAAATGGATAACAGCTCCTTTGCTTTGAAAATTACCATTCTAAGTAAAAAAAATAAAATAAAATTGTCTCGAACACTGACTGGCGGATTAGAGGTTGACTGCTTCAATCACAGGACAGGCCATTTGCAATTTACCAGACTGACCTTAGTCTGGTATAAAGTTACAACTGTTGGGCACCCAGTGATAACACACAGCACTTGCTAGATGGCTTTGGCAACTATTGCTCAACAGTAGACGACCTGTTGTTGCAACTTACAACTGATTTACGAGCGACAATATTACGACATGACATTAAAAGAGAGAGAGAGAGAGAGAGAGAGAGAGAGAGAGAGAGAGAGAGAGAGATCCCGTCAAAACGAATTAACAGTCATAATTGTGTAAAATGACAATTGGAAAAAAATCTTAGATTTTGCCGACGCGTTTCGTCTTCCGACTTTTTCAAGGCAAAAATGAAATCGAAATGTCTTTGTTGTTTAACTGTCATAATTGTATAAGAAGTACATTTGCTATCACAAGAATTCACCTTGGATCGTAAATAGAAACCTGTCGCGGTCATTTTCCCGTTTATCGATTTGTGTCTCGACTCCAATTTTCACCTTTGTTTCTTGACGCTTCAAGATAATATCAACGTTGGTCAATTTAGTTTCACTTCCCATTACTGTAAGCAGAGAAAACAAAATCACTATTGTATTTTCGCAATGTCACGTTGTTTATTCTATTTGTCGTAATGACCAATCCGATCTCCAGACATACTAACATTGTGCAGTCATTAAGAATCATAAGTGACAGAAACCTATCTCTATTTGCACTTCTCTGCACTTCTTTCGCTCTCTCTCTCTCCCTGTCTGCTTAGCATTCTGTATTTGTTCCTATCTATCTATCTATCTATCTATCTATCTATCTATCTATCTATCTATCTATCTATGTCAGTTTATTATCTATATTATTCAAATCTATTCATTTGGCAGATCTATCTATCTATCTATCTATCTATCTATCTATCTATCTATCTATCTATCTATCCCTTTGTGCAAATTAATTTAAACAAAACGAATAATCCGTTATTATTTACTTTTTTCCGTATTTTCCAATGAAACATGACCCAGTGCACATGTAAGTACTTCGTATGTCCATTCCACAAAGTCTTTCCTTTCCGTTGTTCAGTGGTAAGGCTTGTCATTGTGTTCGTATAGCGTTACAATTTTCGTACGCTTCCTTGGAGTAACGTGCATCGTAAACAATGGCCGTAGGACAACTAATCGACAGTCGAGACAATAGTGTCAGGAGATGATGAAAATCTGATGCAATCATGGATAAAGCAATATTTTCCAGGTCCAAACAAATTTCATCATACACCCCGAAAATAGATTCATATTACTGGAAAAAACTGTAAATGACCTAATCTGAGAAAAAAATAGAAATCGATTAAACCCTGTCACTCCAGTGGGTCTAAAACTGGCCGTATGGTGGATGAAAGGAAACTAAAGCGGTTGTTTCAGTTAATTTGCACAAGGATCTATCTATCTATCTATCTATCTATCTATCTATCTATCTATCTATCTATGATATAATAAGGAACAAATAGAAAACTTTTATTAAAGCTTCATTAGAATCTTTTGGAAATGACTTATGAAAGAGAAATTTCCGTCCGCCCTGTTGGTTGGGAATTCAGAATACGCTGACTGCACCTTTGCAGAGGAGTAAGACACTTCCCCACCACCACCACCACCACAATGAGGCGTCCTGGGTATGACGATAAACTACATCCGCATCCTGGATATAGCAATAAACAGAAAGTCCTCTGATCAGGAAGTTTTGAGGAGCGTGGAACCACCTCTTAATTGCTGGTGTTCCCAGGTCCACCCTGACCCGGGATCTTAGCACCTGTTAGGGTCCCAGCTGTGGGCAAATAGTTAACCCTCAAAGTGGGGTCAAAACACTATTAAAGTGTAAAAATAGGTTTTAATACGTCATTACCAGAAAAAATATTCCCAGCAATACATTTTTGAAAAAAAAATATTATCAGAAATAGATTTTTGAAAAAAAAAAATATTGTCAGCAATACATTTTTGAAAAAAATAATTCCCAGCAATACATTTTTGAATAAAAATATTATCATAAATAGATTTTTGAAAAAAAAAATATTGCCAGAAATACATTTTTGAAAAAAAAAATTACCAGTAATAAAAATCTTGTTGGCATTAAATAACCCATTGAGGCTGATATACCGTAAAACAAAACAAGCCAAACTAAAGAAAGTTTCATTATCTTCTGTGTTTGTTTTTCATTGGTCAGGTAGATCTCACGTGTTTTTGTTTTGCGGTGTTAGCATGTGTGCGCATGTGCACGTCTGGGTTCTGGTGGGCATATATATTTGTGTCGGTCTGATAGTGTCCGTGTGTTTAATTCTTGATGGTAGTAAGATGATGACGTGCCTGTAAGTATATTATATATCTAGTTTGTCTTGCGGTAGATGTGTTGATTGTTAGATGTTTGATATGTGCTTGAGTGAAAGGCTTAGGTTACATTGACCACAGGTATCTGGAGCTTAAATTCTTCAAATATGAGTTTTATGAAAGTTGGTGATATGAAAAAGTGTGTTTGGTATGTGTTCATCAATGAGAAGATATTTATCAATATACCTTCTAAATATTTTCTTCGGTGTAAAGCAAATCGAGTAGAACTTAGATCTCACCAATGGAATACGAAGGAAATGAAAGTGGTTCGCTGCAATGTGCGTGGTATAGCGGGTCTTAGCCGTGAAGGTTAGAACGAGTAGAACTAATGTAGTTCGTCTGAGCACTTTCCATGCAAATAGCGATACAGTAGTGAGAGGCTTTCAACGTTTCATCTATGAGAAAGGGGTTGTATGGTTCAAAATAATTCATTACCCACAAGGACACAGAGACGCTTTTAGACTCATAAAGACTAGGAAGTGAAGACTGGGCAGCTTCTGTCCATATATGGCAACAGTGCTCCGTTTTCGGTCTGATCTTACTCCTGTAGAAGTAGAAGAAGATAGCAGGATAAGTTAAGTACTTATTGAAACGGTACAGGGAACCGGCCATTTTCTAGCATCTTTCTTTCGTATGTTCGAGGTCCATTTGAGGTCTGGGTTGCCAACCGTTTGCGCAATCTCGTGAGGCAAGTTATTCGCTGCTTTCCTCTGCCCCTCTTTCCTTCAATCTGTCCTGTGAGTGACAAATTCTCCAAGCACTCTTTCCCCATTATGCGCTTTAGAAATTTCAGTCGCCTCTTCCTGATTCTAAGTGTCTTTTATGTTTCCATTTTTTAAAAATCTTCCTCATGCTCCATGGTATTCTCAGCATCCTTTTGTTGAACTATATTTCTGCTGCCTTCAGTTTTCGCTTCAAGAATTTTTCTTAATACTTGCTTAGCTTCTTGGAGACATCTTTCGTTATTCCAATGTGTCTTTGGGTTTCTACCTGACATTTTCCGTCCTCTGTTTAAAAACTACCTTGATATTTAAATTTTCGTATTTGCTTAATTTTAGTGTCTCCAATTCTCAGTTCACATCTTGGGCTGTTCCTTTTGCTGACAACCTTACATTCTGTCTTCTTGCCTATAGTCCTTTCTTCTCTCCTTCTTTTACTACCTTCTCAAAGAGTTCCTTTAGTTTCTTTTCCGTGTCTGCTATCAACACTGTTATTTTATGACGTCTATTAAAATTTGTCTTGATACTCAATAAATCGTCCGTATTAACATATTATTTCTACTCCACGGCAAAAACACATGGTCCCTTTTGTTACCAGATATCTGCCTATAATAGTAAGACGCGATCAGGAACCCCGTAACATCTAGGGTCGTAGTGGCACCTCATCTACTACAGCCATAGCAACCGTGGTGTTTCATGAGCTAGACAGCCTTACGGAGCCAACCCTTTCCAGGCTGGTTTGAATTCAGAGTTTTCCAACTAATGCTATAGGGCCCAATCTGTCCGGCTACTTTACTCATAACTAGGGGTAAGAGATACTTTTCCAAGGGTGTGTGGATTTTACTACCTTTTCAAAAAGTTCCTTTAGTTACATTTTTGTGTCTGTTATCAACGCTGTCATCCGCATATCTTACGTTGTTAAGGTTGTGACCGGCAATAATGAATCCTGGTCGGACTTCTAATTCTCTCGGGATCGTCTCACTGTATAGGTGTCATTACTTTCGATAAATACGAAGTACATGTCGTGATGAAAATACTAATCTTTTTGTTTAAAAGTAAAGGGCAAGTGAATGTAATGCACGCAACAGTCATTCGAACTCGGCTCCACGATTCCTCAATTCATTACTCCATCGTGCCTCCATACTACTCTCCAACTGAATTGTTAATTTCTCCACAGGAACATAATTAGCAAAAGATAATCTGGGTGAAACAATCGATGATGTATTGGGTTGGTGCATAATTATCAGGCATTTTTGCAAGCGAGTTATTTGTTCATAAAAATTACTGCTTTGTTTACTTTTTTTTTTTAATAAAAATATTATTTTATTTTCAGGTTATAAAAATGCTTGTCGATAATCATACGCTCCGGAATAATCATTTAAAAATGTTATTGTTGAATTGTTATCTTTCTTTTTTTCATAATAAATATTGTTTAAAAAAAAACGCCTGATAATTATGCACCAATCCAATATAAGCTTGATGACTATGTATTTTTTTCTCTCGTAGAATGTGCAGTTGCCAACAAGGCATCGGGAAGTCGCCCCCTTGCAATGCTAAAGAGGAAGAAAGGAAAGTTTTTATTACTTACAGTCATTACCACGGTAATGTTTACCATTAATATTACCATTATCTTCTTTTCGTTTCTGTAAAGTACAATATTTTACCAGGCCATTACCCAAAACCTGGTGTAAGGTAAGGTGGTAGATATGAACATTCTGTTCACACAAATTTTGATGTTAAGTGATACTTAATAGGCACAGTGTTTATATTTACATAACATTAATAATACTATCCTGAGTAGATTACCCAGTGTAATATTTTGAATCTTTTGTAATCAAGGGCTGATAGGAATTTGTTAATGTTATTGTCTGTACCTGTTTTTGCTATCATTCCCAGTGATTCAGTGATTATAGGTATAACAGTAGATTTAAGGTACCATATGTTGTATTCATATATAAATCTCCACCATATAAATAGCAATCGATACGGCTGGTGGCGAAACTAGTCTTGACCTTGGTTGGGATTGGTGTTTTCAAGCGCCGTAGAAAAGCCAAGGAGGAGGAGGCATATTAATCAAAGCCACTCAACCCTTCGAAAGATTGAATATAGATTTCAAGAGACCGCTTTCTTCAAATCGAGTAGGAAGCAAACATTTATTGATTATCATTGATGAATAGAGTTGTTTCCCTTTCGCTTTTGTGTGTAGGGACATGCTCACTATAACTGTATTGACTTGCTTAAGTAAATTATTTTGTATATTTTGTATGCCAAGTTATATACACTCTGATAGAGGACCTAGTTTCATGTCGGAGGAGTTAAGAAGATCTTTTCAAGAGTAAAGAATAGCTACTAATAGCTACTAATAGCTCTACTGCGTACAACCCACGGGGAAAACGGTCAAATGGAGAGATTAAACGGAACTCCGTTGAGGACGATCAACTTAGCATTAAAATCGAGAGAACTGCAGGCGAGATCATCTAGTCAATGCAAACAAACTTTTTCTTAACTGAATAGGTGCTACATATAGTTTTGAATTCAAAGTTTTCTTTTCCTCTAGACCGGTTGCCACTCAAGGCTATATATAGAACCCAGTTTGTCCTGCATAGATATGGTTTCATATCTTCCCCACCAGGGTTTATCACGTAACGCAATTGGAATTCGAACTCGGCTCTCCGATTCCTCAGTCCGAGCCACAATCCATTATTCTACCGTGCTTCTTAATTTTAAGATGTCATTTTTTATTTCAAGTTTTTTATATTTACTTATTTTGTTTGAAAGCACTACTATATCTATAAGAATTGTTATTACATTAAAGAAAGATTTATAATAAATATTATTTATAAGAACATTAATATGAATAAGATTAATAATAAAAATTAAAGAAGACATGACAGCAAGGCAATAGCAACAACAATAAAAAAAAGAAAAACACACGGTGAATGCAATTAAGCGTGACAAACAGCAGTAATGTCAGCAGCTTACGTTTAAGGCTCCAAGTTCTACACTGAAATTGCTAACATAGTAATTGTGAGTTCAATCCTTGGACCGGATAATTCAGACTTAGACTCACTGGAAATAGGACAAGCAGTAAATGGGTAGTATTAAATAAGAGCAAGTCAAGATATCTCTAAACATTGACATCGGAAAGAGTTCAATTCGAAATTACCCGGATCGATAAGCACCCGATAAGCTAATAAGCTATGACCAAAACAAACACTATTCAAAACCTTTATATGTTCTTAAATAACTCTTTAGTAATTGGAGAGCCGTTAAGCAGAAAGCAATCCAAACCAAGCCAAGACCGTCAATTTTACAGCTGTGAATAGTCAACGCAGAACCAAGAGGTTACCCTTTTGATCTTTCTAATCCGTTCGTTCATCGTTAGCATTATGTAAATCTTTTCTTCGCAGATGAAGTCGGGTGTCATTTGGTCAAGCTTTTACCCAGGGATCATCCAAAGAAAATCTCAAATCTGACGTATCTTTCCGACTGTGCATTTCACTGCGTTGACCATGAATTCTTTGGCTATTCGCTCAAGTAAGTAACTTATAAACATTCATTTACGCAGATCAACATCTTTGGGGAAGTTAGACGAGCTAACAATCTAAAGAGGTAATGAGATCTTTTTTCTTCCTTGCGGGTCTTGTTTAGTGATTAGATGTTAAGTAAAAGTACAGGAAATTCTAAAAATAATCATATTTCCAAGATTGTCTAGTCCAGTGATTTCCAACATTTTTTCTCTTGCACCCTTTTCACTATATTTCTATATGCAATTCCATATTTTCAAGATTTTCTCATTCAAAAGTTGAATTGTATAATTATTCCGCAATTGCATAGTCTCCGCTATTGTTGCTCGTTTTCGTTTCTTCGATCTGCCAATTCCCTTCCCCAGCGCTTCCAAAAGCATAGTATTCTTGGCGTCGTTACTTGATGGTGATTTTGATTTCCGCAGCAATCATATGTCAACATCAGCGAGTTGGGAGCTAACCAGCTTTTACGGTGATTCCGTTCAGTGTTCATTCTGATTTCGCAGAAATTTCAGGTGTAAAATCCTTGCAACTGTGGTAACTTCTCTGCTGAAAAATAATTTCAAGACACAAACCAACAAACTCTGATAACAAAGTGAAAAATTTATAAGTATATAAGGAGTAAGGGATTATTCATCTTTCGTTGTACACTTGTTGACGATTATTCAGCAAGAAAATTATTGTAGCGGTAATTCGTAGTAATTTGAGAGACCTTTTGTCTGTGAATTTGTTGGCGGCAGAAACCGGAGGAGGAGAATGAGGAGGGGGGGGCAAAATTATACTTAGCCTATCTTGTCATCTGGTATCTTCAACGTTCTGTCTGTGTATCAGAGTATTGGCTCGTTTATATAAGAAAATTTGAGCGCTTCTGAATCTGATTATCGCATTTTTTCTATGAGATAGTCATAACCTTTCTTGGTTAATTTGCAGTGTAACACCCGCGCTCTGTTCGCATTGAAAAATTTCCAGAATACTTACATTTATGCGTAATTGTACATGCTCCATTCTAATCTGGCTTGATAAATTTGATAAAATCTACCATTTTGGAATTATCGGCAATGAAAGTTCGGATTCATACGCGTCGTTGGTGGCGTCGTTTGTTTCTTTGATTTTTTTCAGTTTGATTTCAATTAATTTCTGCTTCAAATAGTCATTAGGTATTTAAACGTTGAACCAAGATTACCACACTGTTATATGCCTCATGTAGCGAAGCGTTGAATCAAGGTTACCATTCTGTTATAATTGTATGATTTATAAGTAATTTACTTTTGGTGGAAACGAATGATGAATTTATCATCCTAACTACTTATCATATGTGGCAACGTTTTTTTTTTTACGTTGAGGTTTTGTTGTATATCGTGTTTTCGAGATGACAGAATGAAATAAATAAGACAAACTCGTAGGTAAGTAATGAAATAGAAGGTTTACTACGCAAAGGTACACTTAGCAATTGACCTAATGCTAACTCGGTATTTACCCGTGACCTCCTCACAAAGCGGGATGTGGCACAAGGCCGTTTTTTTTACGTGGGGCGTTCCGAGTACGTAGGTTTGGGAAAAAATTCCCCGTATACGCCGTATTACACGGGGTCGGGTAGCTGTTTATCTCTCCAGACGAGACTCTGCCTTTCAGCATAGCCTTGTCTTGGTTCCTCTCTGCCCGAAGGCAGAGAGTTCGGCTAGCACTGCGGCTAACATCTTATGCTAACTCACCTCATCTCCGCTTAACTCCACTTATTTGCATAAACCGACGATTCCATTCATTTAAATTCAGAGTTTTCATTCTCCTCGACTGTTTGCCAGTCTGTCTTGCTATTTACCCGTAGCTGGAGGAAGAAGAGATGGATTCATACTTTCCCTATTTAAGCGAAGGCAATGAACTCGACTGGAATTCAAACTCTGCTTTCCGTTTCCTCAAACTGAGCCTCAATCCATTATTCTACCGTGCCTTCTTGTTAATTGCCCGGAACTTGTCAAAACGGTCGAAGATGAGTCAGACTGATCATTATCCTTCTATGTGTCGCACCTTTTTAGGGCATAGGCCATCATAGCTCTCCACAACTTCCTATCCCTTGTGACTCTTAGCAGTTTTTCTCCCTTTGCTATGTCCCTGATCCCGATTCGCCATTCATGGTGTTTACTCGTTCCCCTACCAGAACGAGATGTGACACAAGGTCGTTTTAAAGTGGGGACCCGAGCGCGTGCACCCGGAGAAGGGACAAAAATTCCCCTCAGCCCCCGCAACCGTCGGTTGCGCTGGCCTCGGTGCGAGCACCGATCCCTTATGCAATGGGAGGGCGCGGCCTCGGGCAGCTGTTCCCCAGGGCTGGGTACCTCTCAGTATTATTTTCTCAGTTGTCCCTCTGTTCTTTGACAGAGAAGCCCCTGAGCGCACTCTGCCCAAAGAGACGCAACTGAGAGATGATAAGCCTGCGTTAGAAATTCCTCCAAGGAGAAATTTTCACGATTCGCCATTCATTCACACAACTGGCTCGTTGCCTTCTCCTATCTCTCTTGCCCTTAATACGCCTCGTGAGGGTTAGGCTTTCCAGGCATTTCTTCATTATTACATGTCCAAGGAATTTCAGCGGTCTTTTCCTGATTTTGAGTAGAAATGTTCTTTGAATTGTTTTAAAAGATCACACTGGAAAAAAATGAAATTCATATTTTATTTTTTTAAACTTACAAATTCTTTTTCAAAATAAAAACTTTTGTTTGTTTCATTTATCTATCCTATAAGAACCAGAAAATAACACTGGAGATAATATATACCAAGATAATTAAGCACTAAATATCTATAATATTTTAAATGTGCTATTAAAAACCCCACTGTGCTGATGCTGCTCCAATGCACCACAGTACTAACGGGTGGTTAACCTTGCGTTAGTGACCTCAGATTTCCGAAAATGGATAGTCTTGTGGTGTCTGTCCCACACTACAACTGCGCCACGCTGCGTGCTAAACACCCACACTGAGTCAGGAGAGTAGTGAGAGGAAGCAAAAGAAACAAGTTGCATGGAAGCATGAGGTTATTACTCTATGAAAACGAAAAAACTGATCCCCCACTTTTGACAAGTAAAAATCTTACATTAATACAGTTTTTCTATGCCAAGCTATAAGTCTCCTACTTACGGTATGGTTTTACGATTTAAAAAACAATTTTCACCAGAGAATATAGTAGATTTGTTTTTAATATTAATGTATGAATCCATAGTTTGCATTGAAGAATGAGGTCAATACGCCAGGCAAACCAGAAACTGATCGTTAAATTATAGAATGAGATCTACTTGATATAGAATGAACGGATATGACAATAATAATAATAATGTCCTTAAATGGCGAAACAAGATACCCTAATAACAGCAGATCAGAACACGCGGATAAAAAGTGGCTCAATAAGTTCACTACTTAACGATCAGCTCAAGTTTGTCTTTTTCTTCTTTTTTTTTTTTCAACAATGATCACCATGCACAAGGCTCAAGAGCCACTCGAGGTAGAGGGTTACAGGGTAAGATGCACAGTTTATGAGAATGGAGGAAGATGACGGTTAACCCAAGACTTGAACAGGCTAAGACTGTAGTGATTGGGGAATTGTAGTGATTAGTTCCACAAAGTAGTGGTTTGTGGGCAGAAGCTGCTCGAGTGAAATTTTAACAAGTAAAAATCTTGCACAAATACAGTTTTATATGGCAAACTATACGTTTCTCTAGGAATAACGAGCATTAAAAAAAATTGTCCTAACAAAACACCCCATGTTACTAAAGCAAGGTTAATACTGTGTGGTGAGTTCGTTCCTTACTGGGTGTTCTATACTTATGGCCCTTGTGCTAGATTAGTAAATATTTATTGGCTGATAAAATGTTGTCTTCTTCATTTATTGTCTTGAGGCACTTAGATATTCTCATTCGCTCTACGTAACCCTTGGCGTCTTAGTGGCATTATTGCCTTGTTTGGGGTGAAATGATTAGAAATGAAAAAATAAAATAAAATAAATGTTTCTTAATTTTCCGGTGTTCCTTTTTTCTAATTTCTTTTCTCAATTTTTCTCCCCCCCCTCTAGCGCCACATGTGGCTGTGAGAAGTATTACCTCAGTTCTTCGGACCGGCTTGATGAACTGTGTGATGCTACATGTGATTGGGCTCCAGTAGACAGATGTGGAGGAAGCAACGTGGTAGCTGTATACCGTACAGGTATTTATTTACTGATCTTATTTTTTATAACTCGTCGGCACAAAGTTTCCGTATATTCCGCATCAAATACAGCACTTCTAGATCTTAATTGCTGAAAGTAGTGAATGATTGATTCATTTTTGCGTCTTACCAACCCTTACAGGTTATTTAAAGCCAGAAAAATATTTTTAGATTGTAAGAATTTTTTTTAGATAATAATAGTTTAATGTAACGAGCCTTACTAATTATTAATGGTTTAGTGATACGTCTTACTAATTAACCCATAGCTAGGGGAGAAATGATGGATTCTTACCTTTCTCAAGGGTATTTGTGCGTAGGTGAATATAACGAACCCAACTGGAGTTCGTACTAGTCTCTCCGATTTACAATCCCGAGCTGTTACCCATTGCCCCACCAGCACATCCAAGCTTACAACACCTAATATTCCCAAGCAGTCATTCATCTAGTTACCTACTAGGCTCGACGTTGCTTACCTTCGGTAATCCTAACTGTTCTAGCGAGACAAGCTTGCTAACCCTTACACGAAGAGCACAAAATGATTTTCTAGGTAAAGCTTAGATATGGCACAAGGACGAAAGTTTGGAGCACCCAACGAGTATCGAACTCACTAGTCAGTCGTAATTGATGTAATAAAACAAGATAACCATTACACGATGTCGAAGTGCCCATGTATCGATTGCTATGGTGAGTTTCAAAGCAGGCCGAAAGTATGGGTCACCGAGTGAGGATCAAACTCACTGCTCAGTCGTAATTGTTCTAGCAAGACAAGCATGTTAACCATTACACCACGTGTAGGTGCCTTCCGCACATATCAATTGTTATGATATTGTTTTTTTTTTATAAGCAATCATCAGTTCATAATCGCTTAAGGCGTTACTATCTCTATATCTTATTAGACAAATATTTTTTCACCATAATTTTATCTCTTGTTACTGGAACTAATCACTACAATTCCCCAATCACTAGTCTTAGCCTGTTCAAGTCTTGGGTTAACCGTCATCTTTCCCCATTCTCATAAACTGTGCATCTTACCCTGTAACCCTCTACCTCGAGTGGCTCTTGAACCTTGTGCAGGGTGATCATTGTTGGAAAAAAAAAAAGAAAAAGACAAACTTGAGCTGATCGTTAAGTAGTGAACTTATTGAGCCACTTTTTATCCGCGTGTTCTGATCTGCTGTTATTAGGGTATCTTGTTTCGCCATTTAAGGACATTATTATTATTATTATTATTATTGTGATATCCGTTCATTCTATATCAAGTAGATCTCATTCTATAATTTAACGAGCAGGAGCGAGTAATAAGAATTGATTATCACTCATGTCGTTGTTTTGCCTCTCTAGATTGACAAAACCTTTCTTAGAATTCTAGCTGTCCCAAGCAAAACTGTTTTCTGATGAATTTTAGTTCGAATCTCAATACCAATTTTAGACAGACATTTTTGGATTTTGTCTCTCACAGTTCTAAGGGCGCCCACCACAACAGGAACCACTACTTTCTTAAAGTCCTGGGTATGATGATAAACTACACCCAGTAGCAAAACCTCTGAGCGGGAGATTAGAGATTTTGAGGAGCGTGGAACCACTTCTTGTTGTTTCCAGCTCCACCCTGGCCCTGGGTAGTAGCACATGTTAGGGTCTCAGTTATGAGCAAATAACGAACCTCTCCCTCCACCGAGTCTATCAGAACCTTTTCCAATCAAATCGAGCGCTGAAACTACAACCGGAATTACTGAAGTTTCATGTGCTACATATTTTGGATTTCCACTTCAAGATCCTTGTATTTTGATAGCTTTTGAAAGACCTTCAAAGGTACATTGCAGTCTGTAGGAACCGCCATGTCAATAAGAAAGCACATTCTGTTTTTTTTTGTCTTTGATCACGATATCTGGGTGATTAGCTTTGATTGTTCTGTGTGTTTATTGTAAAATTGTTGCAGGTCCTAGAGCTTGGATTAATTTTATTAATTATTATTATTATTATTATTATTATTTAGGTGTTAAAAGTATGAGCAGTGAGTATACCAGAATGTCAAACTCTCGAAAAGGTGAGTTACAGATTTTTTGAACGCAATCCATTTTGAACCAATGTTGATTATCTGTGCTGATCCGTGAGAAATATCTCCACATCTATGTCATAATATTTGCAAGGTTTTGTCATTTTCCATAAGGCAGGAATGAGTCCCAAATACCCCGTGACATGATCAAACGCTTATCACAAGTGCAGTACGATGACTAATTATGCTTGAATGGGGGCTAACCTACACGGTCTTTCTTTATTACCGTTCATATGCATGCCACTATATACTGGCATAAAAAATGTGGACAATTTTAAGGATACCAGAGAGGCATATCGGTTAACAACATGTATTCGGCGAATCGAATTCGAATTTCGGCTGAGGCTATTTTGGTTGACTTAACACTTTACCTTACCAAGGTTAGAGAGCCTATTCCACTCTACCATTTTACACCGAAATGGGGATGGGGGTGAGTGGGAAAGAGATTGATTAGTATCTTTATCAAGGACATTAGCGTGAAGTGAACGCAACAATCTCTCGCTATAATCTGAATTCGAGTTTCTGATTCTATCCTCAGCACTAATAACCGTCATGCCACCTGCGTATGCCATCAATAAATATGAAAATACAAGTATTTGAGTTGGTTATCATAATTCGTATAATCGGAGCCTATATATATATATATATATATATATATATAATGACGTAGAATAGAAGGTAAACAAATGTGTTTCACGTCAGAAGTAGCTTTGTGTCGTGAGCATGGTTTTGTTTAACTTTGTTTATTTGGGATCTTGACCAGATCAAACTTGATGCCTGTTGAGCTGTGGCTTGGAGACGATGTAAAGTATGCTTTAGGTTCCGGCCAGTGACGCCCACCTTCAAAGGAAAAGAAACGATTGATCGTCCAAGGAATCCCCGGGGTTCAACCTCAATAGGTAGCACATGATATGTACAACCCTTTTCCACGCAGTCGGATCGCAGCGATTCGCAGCGGTTTTTCTTGCGTTCGTGCGCCTCCTCCCTGTTCTCCTCCGTTAATTCTCCAAGAAGGAGACACTTTGACATAATGCGCATGCATCAGTGTCAGTGTACCCCCACAAATTGAGGTTGGTCCCATTTGGTAGGAGATCATAGGTAGATCGCAAGAGGAATGGTATTGCCAATGGCTCCATTGCAATCAGGCTATGAGCGAGATCAAGCCAAATTACATGAAGCTCAGTTTTATTTTGTTTGCTGTATAGGACTGAGTTTCAAATCATGAGTGAATGCTTCAGTCAGCCGGGGAAGCCACACCAATTTTCCGACGGAAGCGAGGGTCATTTCGTTTTTACAAGGGTTCACTTTCGTCATTCCGAAGAGTCATCTTAATTCCCTGAGAGTCTTGTTCAATTATATATATATATATATATATATATATATATATACTAAACGTACTCGCGCGTATCATCCGACTTTTGAAGACGTAATATTGGAGCTAATTTTAACGGGGTCGCATCGTACACGAGATATAAAATTAGCACATGTAATGCTGGCCCTGGATAGACCGTTGATCAAACTATATATCCATTTACTGTAGTCAAAAAGTACAGATGTATTGAAAATAAATATCGCACCTTGCACGATATATATATATATATATATATATATATATAGGTTAAAAAAAATTTGTTAGAAAGATTCTGTACAAAAACTTATTGTATAGACTATAATGAAGATTGAAAAAAAAGGCACCTAATGTTTAATATAGTGATATTTATTTATAATATATGAATTTTTAAAGAGAAGAATTAAAACTTTGTTACTTAAAATTGGATTTTCAATGTTTTTTCTTAGAAAAATAATTTGTTGTTTTCCTTTTTTTTAAACTTTATATATATATAATTTTTGATTTTACAGTGGCTTGGTATACTGCATTGTTCTGCAAACAATTGTCGTTTAAAGGACATTCTTTCTTTGCTCTGCAGTTACACGTGTGTTTAATTTGTTCACGTGATTTGTTGGATGTTTTCCTTGTGCTTTTTTATTATTTGTGTCGGTGCAACTGTAGCTGATTTTTACTGTGATTTTGTTGAATATCGTCTGGAAAGTGCTTGATGGTGGAAGTGCTTGTGTATATGTTTAATGAATATTTTTTCTACGTCTGTTTTTACGTATTTCCTGCACGGTGGGTTGAACTATATCATGTTTCTCTTCCGTTGTCATTATTGTGCTGCGTGCTGTGTATGTGAGTGTTGCCAGGAATCTACTATCTATACTGGCAACACTTTTGCCACTGGGTGTTGACTTCAATGTCCACTTTTATATATATATATATATATTTGTGTGTATCGAGACAATGTGGACGTAGGAATCAACACAGCATCGTAAAGATCACATTAAAAGGTGAAACTGACAGTCATCATGTAGTGTTGATTCCTACGTCCACACTATCTATAACTATGAAGACTTTCTCTCTGCTATCGAGCACTGTGTGTTTGACTGCCTGTTTCTGTCTGTCTCTCTCTCTCTCTCTATATATATATATATATATATATATATATATATATATATATATATATATACATATATATATATATATATATATATATATATATATATATATATATATATATATATATATATATATATATATATATATATATATATATATATATATATATATATATATATATATATATATATATATATATATATATATATATATATATATATATATACCAACAGTTAATGTATCAGAAATAATTAAATTTTGCACTACTTATGGAAGTCGATTACACATTTCTCATGATCCTTGACAAGAATGACTGTATTAACTATTACAGAATTTACATTTTATTATTTTAGAAATGTGTAATGTTGCGCTAAATTTTCAAATTTAAAATTCTCAACACTGCCAACTGCAAAACTCTGAGTCGAACTTTACTTTAGATAAAATAATTATTACGTTAGAAAATTATTAGTACTTTATTGACAGAAATTATGTTCGTTTTGAGATATAAATTATATGGAGTTACGATTATTTTTATATGTATATATTTATATATATAATTGTCTATTTGTGCAGCAATCCTTCTTTTATATAAGTTTCGTTAAAGAAGACTGATAAGGTAAAAAAAAAACGGCTAAAAATAATGGAAGCATTAATAATAAAACAGAAAAAACCAACACGCAATAATATCAACGATGAACATGGCCACAATGTGCTGATTGTTTTTGGGAATTAAAAAAAAAAAACAATAACATTCCCATTACTTTTGATACACATGTATAAAAATCTAGATATTCAGTTAAAAATAAAATAAAAAACAGAAAAAAAAACAGAACAAAAAAAAACAGAACAAAAAAAAAAACAGAACAAAAAAACAAAAAAAAAAACAGGAAAAAAAACAAAACAAAACAAAAAACAAACTCCTCGATAATGACTAATAGCCGAATGAGCTCGGATATTCAGAACATTCGGACAGTTTTTACACACTTTATATCCAGAAAAGAAAACACGTATACGGGGGGGGGGGTCGACACTATTTTTCAGACACTTTATTTTTTCAAGTTTTAGGTAGCATAGGCCGTCTGTACTGTTTTAGTGTAATGGCAATAACATTTAAAAAATGTTTCAATACTACAAATGGAAAAGCAGAATTCAAATTACAAATTTTCACATTACACAGGCGACAGTATTTTTCGGACATTGCAGAAACAATGCTAATAGTTTATGGCAGCACCCTTTTTTTCAATGACTTCTATCAGTCTATCTTCATAATGTTCGTACATATTGATAATAACGTCTCTTCGTGTTTCTAGCAGTCTATTTTTAGCATCTTGTATGCGCTGCCACAGTTCAGCCTCTCTGGTTATTTCTGGCCCGTCGTAAACAAGTTCTGCAAGCATTTCCCATATGTTTTCAATTAAATTTAAGTCTGGACTTCTTGCAGGCCATCCCAGAGTAGTTATATTTGCTTCACACATCCAATTTTTCACTGATTTGGCCACATGGATGCTGCAGTTATCTTGCTGCAAAATTACTTCCTATTTCTTTTTCTATGAGTGGTAGGGATCTCTTTTTCAAAAGATCTCTGTAGCTCAAGCTATTTTGACGTCCTTTTAACCACTTGAGCCACAAGTTTCCATTCGGAAATACCCTACCCCAAACCATGACTTCTCCTCCTCCCATCTATCTCTTGTTGAGAATAACAGGTTCACCTTTTCTCGACCATGTACACCACCCGTCAGGTCCATCGAACTTAAAACGTTTTTCATCAGTAAATATGATTTTCTTGAAGTCGACATGGTTTGTTATCCATCTTTTGGCGCTTCCCAGCCTTGCCTCCTTGTGTTTTCTCGTTAGTGTAATTCTTTTCTTGATTTTAGCGTACTTAAGTCCAATTTCGTGTAGCTTTCTTTGTACAGTTCGAACACTGACGTCAAGTTCACACTTCTCCTTTACTTTCTTCGCAGTCACCTTTTCTCCAGATGATAACAACCTCGTAACACTCCTCTTCATTCTTCTTTCTGTTCTCTTGGAAATTGTTTTTTTTCCGTCCTCTCTTCTTCTTCTTCCGCTCATAGTCTGTACTTAGCATGTATTCAACTGTTGACTTCGGTAGCTTCATCTCAGCCTCGATCTTTTGGATGCTGAGCCCGTCTTCTCTCTTCTTTTGGACCAAACTGATGACTTCTTTTGAATGCATTCTTATTCAGGTTTTTAATACGTTTTCTCAGTGAATGGAAAAGATACTCAAATGTAATGGTCAGGGTACAATTTACCTGCAGAAAATTTGCATATTGTAGACGTTCGACGACTAAATCAATAAAAAACCCGGAATTTGTGTCATGTTCGAAAAATAGTGTCGCCTAAGTTGAAGTAAAAATAAAGAAAATATGAAACCAAAGACAAACCCATCAATCAATGTTCATACCATTAATGGACAGTTACTGCTGAACTACCTACTCATCAACACAAAAGCTCTCCGCCTTTAAGCACACTTTTTAAAGTGTCCCAAAAATAATGTCGGCCCCCTGTATGAATGCAAGGAAAACTGAATAAAAAGCTTAATTCCAGTACCTTATCAGCCGTCGTTAATAGAACATATATATATATATATATATATATAAATATATATATATACATACATAAATACACACACACATATATATATATATGTGTGTGTGTTATCTATAAAGCTTCGTAACCAGGTTGAATCAAGATTTTCATTTTCTTGTTTTACGGCATATCAACACCAATGGGTTATTTAATGCCGACAACTTTTTTCCTGGTAATATTTTGTTTTGTCAAAAATCTATTTCTGGTAATATTTTTTCCTCAAAAAAATATAGCTAGTAATATTATTTTTAAAAATATATTGCTGGTAATAGTTTTTTCTTCAAAAATTTTATTTCTGGTAATAATTTTTTACAAAGTATTTCTGGTATTAAGACCTATTTTTACACTTTAATAATGGTTTTTGCCTCAGTTTTGGCGGTTAACTATTTGCCCATAGCTGAGACTCTAACAGGTTTTACCACCTTGGATCAGGGTGGACCTGGGAACACCAGCAATTAAGAGGTGGTTCCACGCTCCTCAAAGCCTCCTGATCAGAGGCTTTGCTGTTGAACGTAGTTTATCGTCTTACCCAGGATGCGGATGTAGTTTATCGTCATACCCAGGATGGTTTTCTGGTGACTTTGAACTAATAATAAAGTAAATAATTATTATTTATCTGTTTCGTTTGCTAGTGATGTATATGTATATGCAGGATAGCCCCGCTTTAGAGTTTATTCCAGGGTATCAGGCAATTGCACCTCTATGTATAAACCTAATTGCGCTTGCGTGTATTGATTTATCAATACACGCAAGTTTTATCATACTTGCGTATGTGTGGATATTCACGTCAGCAATAGAGTTTTTCATTGCTTATATAATGTAAGTATATGTATAAGGTTGGCCAGTTACGGTTATAAGTGTGAGCGTGAATATAAGTTTTATTGGGCAGTTATGACTTACTGCAAAATAAATTGAGTGAACGACATCGTAGTGAAGGAGACATAATGATCGATTTTCTTTATTGATTTTTCCCATGCACTTTTTCTTCCATATCTGTCTTGGAACTTTTACAACTGTTGATTATTACTGTCACCACGACTGTTTTCCACATTTCAATCAATTCCTTCTGATTTTGCACAATTTCATTACTAATACGTCTTTCTTTTTACATAATTGCTTTTAATTTACCAAATTTGTATAAAGTGTGAAAAACAAAACGCTTTAAAAATCGCAGCAATTTTGAGATAGTAGTCTTCATTTTTGTTGTTTTTTTAACTTAAAACTTCGACAGAAATATTTTTCGGCCTTCAAGTGCAACACTAAATTTCTAAACTTCAAATTCTCAGACTAAACTGCCAATTCCTAAACGAAACTTTATATTCCCAGACTAAGATATAAATTTACAAACTAATGTTCAAATTCTTCAAATAATGTTCAAATTTCAAACTAACATTTTGCCAAACCAAACTATAATTTCATCAATGTATATTTCGAGGCATTTAATCTGTAAAAACATGTAGCCCCCTCATCCGATGCATTAGAGTAGTGGTTTCCCAACTTTTCTCTGGACCGAATTTCCGGAATTAAAGTTTGTTCGCGCCTCACCAAATATGATGTGATAAAATATACATTTAATAATAAAACACAAAGAGAGTGTTCAAACGAGATAAGCACCGATTCGAAGTCAAAACATTATCTTTGATAACTCTCTCCTCCAATTTGCAGACCCTACTTAATATCATCTTTATACTTGATATAATACAAAACTATCACAATGATAAAATCGGTCAATAATTATTTATAACTATTTATACAGGGACTCATGCATGCAATTACAAGTAATCCATAATATTTTAAATGATCTTCCGTCGCACCCATGAGACGCGCGCCGCAACGTCTGGGAAGCACTGCATTAGAGAAACAATTAATGAAATGATTTACTAAGCGCTGCCTTGACGTGGCACAAGTGGAGCACCAACTGAGGATCGAACTCACTACTCAGTCGTAATTGATCTAGTGAGATAAACTTGCTAACTATTGCACAACATCGAAGTGTCCAGCAAGGCTATACTTTATTGTCATTAATCACCATAATACACGCCTTCACATTTAAACTCTTTGCTCATATGCACGTTAATATGCTGTGTGAATCAGAATAGTGTACAAGATGTGGTCATTGCAGTTTCAACTACTTCCTCTAATATCCTGAGTTGATGACGGCTAATGGGTTCATTGGTATCTGGCCCATTCATTATTTCTTGTCGACGTGCCAGCAATTCAGTTCTGGCTTTAGAAGTCACGACAATCCACGATGAATCAATAGGATTGAGCGTTGGCGAATTAGGAGCAAGGCGTAATAGCTTCACTGTGTGAAAGGTCTGTCAGAACCAAATTGCGAAGCCATTGCTGCTTTAACTGCAGCCTCGGCTGACGAATGAACTTGGACATTATTGCACACAATAAGAACTTTTTTTTTCGCGTCCGGCAGAGCATTAGCTAATTCACCCACCCACTCGCAAAACCATCGCCTTTTTTTTTTTTTTTTTTTTTTAAAAAAAAAAAAACACCTCTTTTGAATTTCCAAGTAATAAGCTCAAAGGTGTGCATAACCCACTTGATCTAGGTTCGTATCATTTGAAGTAGTCATTGTCTTAATTGCTGTCTGCTATTGGAACGGTTGCAGTGAATATTTATATAATATACATGAAGCAAAGGAAAATATGTGTAACTTTAAGGATTTATTTAAACATTTCACACTAAACAAAGCAATAAGGGTCGTCGGCGATTATATCTCTCCCAAACTTTCTGTCCTTTGTAGTTCGTAGTAAAGTTTGTCCTTTTTGCTATCTCTCCTAAACCTTGTTCTGTCATCCATTAACACGAGCTTGTTAGATGAATTATGCGCTGTTTTTTCCTGACCGTCTTGTCTTCAATCTATCCTGTGAGTGCCATATTTTCCAAGCTCTCTTTCCTCATTAGGTACCCCAGAAATTTCAACTGTCTTTCTGAATCGAAGTGTCGTTTTTGTGTCCATTTTCCATAAAGCTTCGTCGTTGCTCGCATGTTCACTCCATGATATTCTCAGCATCCTTCTATAGAACCACATTTCTGTTACTTCAAGGTTCTTTTTCATCTGTCCACCATTCACTGCCATAGAGAATGACTGACATTACGTAACAATTTAGTACTCTTTTTCTTTGTTCCTAACAAAATTCTCCTGTTTCCTAATACTTTGTTTAGCTTTTGGAAGGCATCTTTCGCTAGCCTAGTGCGCTTTTGGATTTCGATGTCGCATTTTTCGTCCGCTGTTAAAACACTTTCCCGATATTTAATTTGTTATACTTGCTTGATTCCTACAGAAGGTAGTGAAGGAAAGAGAGAAGAAAGGACTAACTATCAATTAGAAAAAGACAAAATGTATCGAGAGCAAAAGGAACAGCCTAACATGCAAATTACAAATTGAAGATACCATAAATCGTCAGTGTGTATTAGATGAATACAAGCACTTGGTCTTAAGCACAGAAACGTCGACTGGACATCGTTGTTCATCAGAAAGCTATGGTGTCATTTCCACACAGTGCTTAACGAAGTAGTTTAATTTAGCCACACAAAGAATATTACAGTCTTTTACTCTCTTTATAGTTTATCTAGTAAGTTATGTAATTTAAATCTGTGAGAAAAGATTATATTTATTTATTTAAGGCGATTTCATTTGGAGTTTAGTTTGGCGAAAATGGAGTTTAGGTTGAAAAGTTATAAAGCTGATGTAGTTGAGGCGATGAGGAAGGCCGAAGAATGTATCCATTGAAACATGTTAAAATGCGACAAAGACGAAAATCCTAGTCCGAAAAATATATAGAAAAGAAGTAGATGGATTCGCCTATTGCCCTGTACACACTCCTTCCTAGCTTTTTGAACAGGAGTAGAGGTTTATCCTTTGTTTCCTGTTTAGGATTAGGTTTCCGGTTCCTTCTCCTAAAGTCTTCTCATTTTCCTTCACTCCAAGTAATCCCTTGCGTCTTAGTGACATTATCGCCTTGCTTGGGGTCGTAAAATGATTAAAAAAAAGAATAATGAAAATTCTTCGTTTCAAAACTTGAGAAAATTAAAGAGTTTGCCTTTTGCATACGAAAAAGACAATATAAGCATTTGTATATTTGTCAATGCAGCTATGAGTATTTCTCATTGAAATTGATTTTGTTTTGCAGGATACATTATAAATAACAAGAAAGAATACGGCATCTTTGGCCTGCTTATTGCATTCTTTGGTTTCATCTTGGTTCTGCTTTGGACTAATCAGGTAAGATTCACACCGTAAACCTTAGCAACAACAAAAACAGATATTTATTTCTTAATCCTTTGAACGTTATATTTTATGGATACACCTGTTTGAGTAGACATCTCTTTCTTTTAATCATTTCGCCCTAAGCAAGGCAATAAAGCCACTACGATGCAAGGGGTTATAGAGTGTAAGAAATAGAGAATATAATAAAAGAACATGAGTCAAGGAGACATAAGATGACGATTGACATTGCATTTAAATTTTTGAAGATCGTAGTTGACATGAAAGCCGGAAGAGAGTTCCACAAACCAGAAGAAACTATTAGCATAAAACTGATGGTTGCAAAGAGCAATTTCAACCGTAAAATTATGAGACAGAATAAATCTGCGTCTAACAGCCTGTGCATTTGTGAGTCTTAATAAAGAAAATATGCCTTCCAGTGGTGTTGGAACCCGTGACCCCCTTATATCTAAGACAGCCGTCAAGCTCGGTATGTTTTAAACGGAAACAAATTGGAGGCCTGTCGGAAGGCACAAGCATCTCCTTTATTAAGATTCTCTATAGCTCATGCCGGTAGACGTAAATGAACACAGTTTAAAAAACAGGGATGTCTACTTATACACGTGTGCCCACTAAATAAATACAACTTTTAAAATAACAAGAAATAATATTGGATTATAAATAAAATCCATTTTATTAAATATCTTAAAAAATTATGTTCTTTTTTTTTAAAATTAGGGTGACATTTGTAAAATCAAATTATGGCCATTGTGTTCCTGTGTATTACGAGAGAGTTTAAATGGTTGTCCAATAGACAATTAAAATAACGTTTAGAATAATAAAAAATAATACTGGGTCAAAAATAAAAGTCCTCAGATTCTTAGAACACACACACACACACACACACACACACATATTACAATGAATCATTCATACAAAAAGTAAATTCATAAAGTTAATGATATAAAATGGCTAAATCCCTTCGATAACTAAATTTTAAAGGTGCATTAACCTACTAATCACTCGATGAATGTTATGATCTTTGTTTTTTAAAATTATAAACTAAATTATAAAAGTTTGTAAAAGTTTTATAAAAGTTCGGTTAGCAAGGTCGATTTTACTGTCTTTAAACTATAATCTACCATGATTCTCTCACGTACATTCATATCTGCTCAGGGTGTATCCAAATGTAAACAAATGACGTCACACATTATGAAATGGACAAAGCCCGACAATTATTTTAAGAACCGTCATTTAGTCTGAGGTGCTATAAAAGAATGTATAAGCATAAAAATGTCTTAAAATAGTAGCGGACGGCAGTGACATTTAAGTACTGTTTTTCACACACACAGGTTCGATTCCTGTCGGAGGACGAATATTTTTTATGAAAATTTTTCGGACATTCAAACCGGTAAATGTTGTTTAATACTGTTTATTATAAACAGAACATTTACTTAAATATTTGTATCTATAAAATGAATGTATAAACATAAAAATGTCTTAAAATAATTGTCGGACTTTCTCCAGTTCATACATACATACATATATATATATATATATATATATATATATATATATATATATATATATATATATATATATATATATATGTGTGTGTGTGTGTCTCGCGCGTAAAGCAAAATTTGTAGACAGTACAGATACAGTGATCAATGCAAGGTATAAAAGCTTTTATGAGTATTATATTACTTTTTACCGCCTAAGGATTGTGTTACAGTCACATTAACTTCTTTACGTCTATATGGAGCTTTTAGTAGCGGACGACAGTGACATTTAAGTACTGTTTTTTCACACACACACACACACACACACACTTCTATCAATAGGTATAATGCCAAAGTATGACACATAGTAAGCTGAATTTATTCATTGGAGAATAATATTCATCAGAGTATTAAGTGTACTAACAACATGGGAGATTATATTAAATTTAGCATTAGGCTCTGGGTTTATTGTTGTGTCTACAGTAGAAAGTTTGATTTTTGTGATCTATGGTGAAGTGTTGGATTCAGTGCATTGACATGAGCAACTACTTTTTTCATCATTAGGCTAGGAAATTATATAGATGCACCTACAATAACTTATTATTTGATGTACTTATATTATCTTTTTGCAGAAATCAAAAACCTTGCAGGCGCAAAAACTGGAAGATCTCAGAAACCGAAAACTGAAAAATTTGAGACCTGACAGTCACTGAGAACCGTTTTCCTTCTGTCCCGAAGAAAAGAACAGGAATTTCAAAAGTGTTCTGGTGCATGTGGCTTGAACAATAAAAGAACGAGTAAACAAATTGTTGTCGTTATGTGTTTGTTATTTCTTGGTTAATTATTGAAGATTCTAGCAAAGATTATCTATCTATCTATCTATCTATCTATCTATCTATCTATCTATCTATCTATCTATCTATCTATCTATCTATCTATCTATCTATCTATCTATCTATCTATCTATCTATCTATCTAACTAACTAAGGAGTACGGGCATATCACGTTGAAATACCGGTTCTCGTACGATCACTGAAGTTAAGCAACCTTGAACCTGGGCAGTACATAGATGGGTGACCGCTTGGGACTATCATGTGCTGTAAGTTTGGATGTGTAGATGGTGTAATAGGTAACGATTCGGAAGTGATATTCGGAGAAGCGAGTTCTAATTCCCGTCGAATGTGTTATATTCACTTACACCCAAATATTCTTGCGAAAACTATGAATCCACATCGTCTCACTCCCCAGATATGGGTTAATTAGTAAAACTTGTATCGCTAAAACATTATTATCTCAAAAAAGATTTTCTTACAATCTAAAAATATTTACTGGTTTTAACTTACCTGCAAAAGGTTGATAATTCGTAAGAAATCAATCAATCAATCAATCTATCTGATCTCAATAACGCCAAAATAAAGTCATTTTCTAAATCCTTCTTTGAGGTTCAAACTCAGTGGAATCCGAACTCGCTATATTAGTAATGGCTTGAGGAACAAGAATTCCAGAAATTTAGATAGCTATAAGATAATAAGTACGTAGTCCGATCAGGTTTTATTATTCACCAGAGTATTAAGTGCATTGACAAGGAAGAAACCGTCGTGGAAAATGTTTATGTAAAATATATGCTCTTTTTATTGTTAGGAAGCAAACTTACTGATTTATCTACGAATAATTTCATTCTAGCTATCCGATGATGGATCAATAATTTCGTAGCCTAACACAAGTTATTAGCTGAAATGTGAGCTAAAATGTCCTAAGTATTATTTTCAATGAGTATTTTTTATCTTCTGTTAGTGTTTTTGATACGTACTTGGGTTGTCTTTTCATGTGTAAAATGTCAATAATTATGCTTTGTATAATATGAACAACGTAGTATAGATTTGTCGTAAACATGTGTGTGTTTATGTGTGAATATATATATATATATATATATATATATATATATATATATATATATATATATATGTGTGTGTATATGTGTGTGTGTATGATAAAATATAGTTTTAAGGTATGCTATATTTATAGGTTAAAGTGTTCAATATCAGGGATAGAGCGTATGTAAATATAAAAGTGGACATTGACTTCAACACCCAGAGGTAACAGCCTGTTTGATGCTAAACGCAATCGTCAGGCCATTGATTTCATGGCCTGACTATTGCGGTTAGCATGAAACAGATTGTCGCCTCTGGATGTTGACTTCTTCTCTCTCTCTCTCTCTCTCTCTCTCTATATATATATATATATATATATATATATATTAGAATAATGGGAAAGAACAATGAGATTTATAATTCAGATTTCCTAGCAAATATTTTTATTTTAAAAAAAGTAGTGCTCGATATAACTATAGAGCATAATATTATAATTGTTTATTTAAATATATAATCATCGCAACATCGGAATTTCCATGTTTCAAAACTAAAACTTCAATTCAAATTCAATCATAAAAATTAAACTTAAAATACAAAGTTCCGTTCCATTATCAAGCGATGCTACGAATCTTTGTATTTTAAGTTTAATTTTTATGATTGAATTTTAATTGAAGTTTCACATGGAAATTTCGGTGTTGCGATGATTATATAATTAAGAAAATAGCAATTATATATATATATATATATATATATATATATATATATATATATATATTACTTCAAATTTTATTTTTAGTGGATTGAGTATACGCTATTTACAGTTTATTTCGTCTATTTGAGAAAATTTAATAAAGAAAATGTGCTCTGCGGCAGGATTCGAAACTGGGTCTTTGCAGGAAAGATCATCGACTGATCTGGCGTACTTTGACCGCTCAGCCAAGTTCTGTTTGCCTTTAATGTAATGCCGTATCTGTACAGATCATATGCGAAACGTAAACCAAGCAATTTCTAAAGAATTAATCGATTTCATTTTTTAATCTGACAAATTTCTATTATTTCAAACGTTATTTTTAGTGGATAACCGTATTCGAATAGATGTTCCGTTTTTTAAACAGTGTTTATTTTGTCTATTAGTCTGCGTACCCAAGAAAACTTAACGAAAATATGTCGTATGTGTGTGTGTTTCGTAAAATATGGCGGGCAAAGAATTTAGTTTCTTAAACTTCACTTACTCATAAGATAAATATTCAGAGATAATAACAATATCTAGTTGTAAAAAACGTTTGAAGAATTTTTTTCTTCAAAGACAAAACCAAACAAAAACAACGGACTAACCTTAATAGCATCTTTTTCGAACGTGGTTAAGGCGTTTTGGTTGTGTTCTTTTTCTCGTCCATTATAGATTGCCTTCAATGACCTAACTCCACTGAATGTATAGGTCTGATAGTGAAAATATATCGGTGTACAAGGGATTCTCAACCAGAAGGATCTCACCTTAGGGGGAATTTCAGAATTTTAGGGCGAGGAGAAATCTTTTATTCTTTTCTTGCTTTTTATTTAAATTTTTTTTTCTTTATTGAATTCCAATACCCTGGTTTTCTATTGAACTTCTTATTTATTGAAGTATACTTCAGTTTATTTATTTAATAATTAGTTATTAATTAAGACAAATTATTGTACACGTATTCAAGTTTATAAATCCATCAACATTTTCTATTGTTATTAAATTTGTAAAATTCCTCTATAAAATAATCTATGTAAATGTATATGTACTAATATGGAAAAGAATGAAGATTTTCAATAATATATGCATATTATTTGGAATGCAACTTTTGAGGAGGACAATCTTGGAGATTGGGGAATAACATTTTGACTTATGGTGAAAAGTGTGCATAGGGTAAAAAACTTGAGAAACATAGGTCTCCAAAGTCGTACATATCTGGTGAGGATCGTAATTTGGAAATTGAATATAGAATAAGCTGTGCTAGTAGTTTCGCCCAATACCGCACATTTCTACCATGCCAAAACATTAACATTAATTAAAACATTAACATTAATACTCTTCTTCTTAAATAGCATCATCAGATCAAAAGTTTCATATGGATGTCATGCATAGCATGAAACATATTCAGAAATATCTAAACTGACAGCTGTAAACAAAACGCTTTTTCAGATCAATGGTTAAAAGCGAGTGACGCCTGAGGGCCTTGGCAAAGACAATCCTTCTTTGAACCTTGTGCACTGGCGCTACAGAATCACAGACAAGGAACTGAACCACATAACAGAAACTACATCACTTGTGGACTACCAACAGCAGCAACAACTAAAATGAATATCACATGCAACTCTAAGAGGGAATAATGACATAATAAACATGCTGATATTCCACCTTACTTCAAAACAAAAGGTCAGGAAGGAAGCCCCAATCAGTACCGGAAAGATCGATAACATTTACTGAACTTTATATATGTAAACTTCGAGTCGTGCTACCTGTGAAGAAAAAAAATATATTTATTAAAATATATTTGAACTAATCCTATATATATATATATATATATATATATATATACCAGCATGGCCCGGCGTTGCCCGTGCTTGATTCAAAAATCGTACGACTCATACAGCAATCGCTATCACTTGACTTAAAATATTTTTGCCCTTCCTTGCCTTTAAAGGAGTTCCCTTTGCCGTGCTGATGTTGCTACATGCCTTACTTCTTGCCTATCTCACACTACAAATTTTTTCTAAGCTCTATACTAAACATTAAATCTGTTACGAAAAAAGAACTAAACAAAATGAACACAAAACGATCAGCTTTAAAAAAAGGACTCGTAACTGGAAAAACCGAATGAAAAAAAAGAATGTTAACAACAAATACTTTTTCACACCCAACCCAGTTCTGCGGAATCAGAATCAGCGTTGAGTTTAAGCAAGCGAATGAGCCAATTCGAGTAAAGTGCCATGCAGATTTAAATTTTTCTCATTTGTGACGAATGCAGCTATCGATTTTTTGCATGCTAGTTAACATTCGTGTCAGTCAGCTGTTGGCTCTCACGATGGCCAATAGAATCTTCCTGCCTATTCGTGGCAGCCAGCTATAGGCTCTCACTCTAGCCAGTACAAAATGGCCGCAAACTACACGAAAACTGCCGTAGAAGCATGAAAAAAATTGATTATTTCCACTATCGATGGGAGTTGGGAAATGCAAAGTCGGCCTTGCCCTTCCGCTAACTCGGAGCATGTGCATGTAAATTTTGGTGCAAATCCATCGAAAATTGCGGCCGTGCATTCATTACACACACACACACACACACACACACACACACACACACACACACACACACACACACACACACACACACACATCCTGCCTTTTATAGATAGAGATATAAAGAAATAATCATACATAGAATCAATCAGCAACATTAATGAGATTTATGGCGAAATCACTTCGCTAGTAGAACATAATGTATGCATTAAAATACTGTTAATCCATTGAATAATGTGATCCTCATTTATAAAACTGTTGTCAGATGTTTCTAGTGTATATTTTTTTAAGTTAAGCAAGTACTTTCGAAGATCCATGTCTTCATCATCAGGCTGTAATTTTTTTTCCTTTAAAGTTAAAACTTGAAGACGAAATAATTGTTTGCAGACCGAAAGATGTTTTTTTAAGAGTGTGCTGTTTATTGACGGTTGTACAATCTTGGAACGTGTGAGTCGCAACGCTAAAGTTCAAAATTTCAAGTGAGAATTTTTATGTTAATTTTGTAATATGGTAAATCCACGAATTCTTTTTTTTTTACAAGTGTTTTTCAGTTAACATGACATGAACTAAGTATATAGTTCAATTAATATAGTGATATATCTTAGTAGTTTTTTTTCTCAGGAATTTCATACTGCGGGATTAATTGTTTTTATAAACATATAATATTAGACAAGCATATATTTTATATATAAAGAAATAATCATACATAGAATCAATCAGCAATATATATAGGATTGATTCAAATGAAATTTGTCACTGAGCTGATTACATTCCAGAGACAGATTCAGCCCTTCGACTCTAGAGTTTCGTAGTCCTCACGTCAGGTTGTTTCAGTGATTGTTCATTGATCGATTTGTTTTCGACGACTTATCAACCCATAACAGGTTATTCAAAGCCAAAAAATACTTTTATATTGTAAGGATTTCACTTTTTTCGATAATAATGGTTTAGTGATATAAGTCTTATTAATTAACCGATAGCTGGGGAAAAAGAGGTGGAATCATACCTTTCCCAAAGGTATGTGGGAGTAAGGGAATATAACGGTCCCAATTCTCTGATTAACAACTTCGAGCCATTATCTATTACACCACCAACACATCCAAGTTTACAGAACTTGGTATTCTCAAACGGTTACCGATCTAGTTACTGACTAGACTGAACCTTGCTTATCTTCGATGATCGTACTAGGAACCGTAAGCCTTCAGGAAGTTTCAGCAATATATATATATATATATATATATATATATATATATATATATGTGTGTGTGTGTGTGTGTGTGTGTGTGTGTGTGTGTGTGTGTTTGTATGTCTGTCTGTCTGTCTTTGTGTAATTAAGTAATTTGGATAAGAGATGGCAAAAGAAATCTAAGCACTTTGAAGAGAAAAAAAAAACCCAGAAATTCTTATTTCTAAATTTGATGTTTTATTAAAATTATGCCCTGTTCTCGAGTATTCAAAACGCTGAACAGTTTCAAGTCCAAAGATGCGTTCAGTCAAATGCTGAAAGTTCAAAAGCCAACGCTGAAGAAGGAAATCGTATTTTTTGAGGTGGTCCCAAGTGAGTGGAGAATTCAAATTGTCACGTGGTCGAAGTATTAAAACAGTTCCCGAGACATCTGAAAAATATCAAAGAAGATCGTCATTGCGAAATCAAAGTAATGAAACGGCACGTAAAACCCCCCTTTGTCAACATTTAAAGATTCAAACATATTAACCTTAAAAGTAAATAAATAAAATTCAATGTTGGGGTAAAACAACGTCAAATGGGAGCCATTTTAGATCCCCCGGAAAGTATTGTTTCCTATATTGCACTTAAAATTAGGCCTTATGAAACAATTTGCCACAACTCTAAATAAGGAGTCTGTAGCCGTCAAGTACTTTCAAGACATCTTCGTTAAAATGTGTGCGGCAAAAGTTAAAGCCGGTGTCTTCGTCGGACTACAAACAAAGATCATAGAGTCGAAGCTCATAAGGATGGGGAAAGCAGTGTGGAATGGTTTTGTCGCAGTGGTTCGTGGCTTCCTGGGGAATCACGAGGCTGAAAACTATGTGAAGCTTATTGCGGCCCTTAAGAGTTACGGCAAAATGGGCTTCAGGATGTCCCTCAAAGTTTATATTCTTGACGCTCATCTTGATAAGTTCAAGGAGAACATGGGGGCGTACACAGGGTAGCAAGGCGAATGCCGCTACCAAGGATGGTGTAGTGAAAACATGATGGGAGACTTTTTTTGTGGGGTGCTGATTCATGAAAGTAATTTACAGTATAAGCGTAAATCGCGAAAAACTAATAACTTCTAATGTTTTTGTGGTCTGTCTTGAGTAATACCATGGCAGCCTTCTGGAAGTGTCTTCTCACAAAAATTGACTTTCCCAGACACTATAGGAGCAACAAGTGTGGAAAGGGACTGTCAGTGGAGTCCCGACCAACCATAGGGAGGTCGAAGGATGATGATGATGATGATGATGATGTGTAATCCTAGAATAAATAAATGTTACTTTTGAAACATATCGTTTTGTTCCTACTTTGGGTGAACGAGACTGTTCACATTCGTCAGTTTTCCTAATGGGAATAGGTAAATTTCAGAAATATGATTGTTCTGGTCACAAAAGTAAAGTTTAAAGAAAGTATGAGTCATTTTTCATACATTCTATGCGTAAACAAACAGTTGCTATCCAAGGACAAAAGTCGCGTAACCAGAGATCGTCGATTTGGTCAACATGACATAGACAAATATTGGATGCGTAGAAAAGTTTACAGCGATCTTTTTTGAAAATGATAGAAAGAATTTAAAAAAATGCTATGGCTCTTCAGGACGTAGGTAACCACTACTCTCCACAGATATCTTTTCATTGTTATCTGTACATTGGTATGGCTTTTGTGGAAAATAGCGTAGTTTTCCGTTAAATTCTCTATGTTTTGGAATTTCCTTCTCTTAGACTGGTTTGAGATGTAAGGTTAGAGGGCCCAGTCTACGCTACTATTTAACATATAATTAAAGCTAGAGAGAAGAGACTTGGGAAAGATAGTGTAGTTTTCCGCTGTCTTCGGCATGATTTGGAATTTCCTTCTCTTAGTCCAAAGCTAGGGAGCCTAGTTTACCTTACTATTTAACCCATAGCTAGAGCGAGGAAAAAGAAACGTCATGTAAAAAATAGAGTAGTTCTCCATTACTTTCTACTTCCAGTAATCCCCCCCCCCAAAAAAAACCATGTAATTTACGAATATTTTTTCGCAAAAATAAAGATAAACTTTATGGGGTGCGTAAATTAGATGAGAATATCGTTTTTTTTTCTGGTTGAAAAAAAAAACGTACAAAACATAAGCACTCGTACCGGAAGTTGAACGATTTAATATCAGAATAGCTTTATACAGAAAAAAAAATGGCCTTAAATGTAATGAAGTTGACTTTTTTTATTTATACTGAAACGGTATAATGCTTACTTCTAAATTTAATAAAAGCATTAAATAGTTAACTAATTTTTAAAGTTTAAGGTTCATAATGGTTATCACGGCCCGGACAATATTTTACATTGCTTGGAGTTTCTACCGATCGCAATGGAGCACCATTGACATACATAGGGATATGAATAATCTTGACTGCAAAAAAAAAATGTAATGATATGGAAAATCTTCACTGTATGCTTTTATTCTTGTCTATTTTTCTTGTTTGGTTATAAGATTGGCAAAATTGTTGAGGATGGTAAGGAAAAAGATATAAATTGAAAGCATTTATAATGATGACAATCATAATCCTAACTTCTACATGTGAGCATAATCCGCATCATATATTTTAATAACTTTTAATGTGATAATCACCGGTTAAACAGAAATTATTTTTATTTAATGAAAATTTGATAAAATCTAACCGTAAAGTGATATTATGTTAAATATAACAAAATTGAAAAACTCTTCCTCCCACCTCCGCCATATCAGCAATTCTGAAAATTTTGGGGTGCGAATTTTTACATAAGTAGAAGCATTTTTTAACAAATTTTATCCTGAAAATCACCTACGTAAATTACACAGGTGCGCAAATTACATGAGTTTTAACGGGATTTGGAATTTCCTTCTCTTAGAACAGTTTGACATCCAAGGCTAGAGAGCCGAGTCTACCCTGCTATTTAACTCACCCCTTTCTTAGGTGCATTAATACATAAATGAATGCAACAGACTAGGACGGCGTTTAAACAAAGCTCGCTTATTCCACTGTAAGCGCCGATAACCGTTACACTTACCGCACGCCCGAATTCATATCCACACCAGGCGGTTTATATCTATCTCATAGTTTTCACTTTGTCATGGGGTAATGTTTAACATGCTGGTGTTGTACACCATTACTATAACGCAGTGAGTTCGATTAAATTTACTAATATATAAAACGTTGTGGCAGTCTCTTTTCCGTCATAAGTTCGTGAGCATTTTAAATTAGAAAACAAACTTTTCTGTTCTTGAGTTTTCCTTCTATTAGACTGGCTGCCACCCCAAATTAGAGAGTTTTGCTATTTAACCCTTAGCTGGCCCAAAGTGAAGAAGTGTATTCGTGCCCATTTCCAGGAGCATTAGTGAGAAAGTGAACACAACAGGTTATACCCGGAATTTGAACTCGGCTCGCTGATTTCCACTTTCCGTGCTGATATCCGTCACGCTACCCGTTCGCAGTAAACGTTTGCATGCACTTAATATATTCGACTATCAGGAATGACAACTGGAAAAGAATACAGAAAATGAAAAGTGTATATTCCTGGAAATAATGTTTTTCGACAACAGACATCGGAGTTGTATATTGATGTTTCAATACAGAATGTCAACGATTCACAGATGGGGCTCAAACAAAATGTATTGCTTTTTTTTTTTGATGGATGAGGAAATTTACACTTTTGTTCGACATCTCATTCCCTCACCAATAAATAAATGAAAAATGAAATATAAAAATAATGCAATTTTATATTGATAATGTGCCAAATGTAATTCCAGTTGTTATGTAACTTGCCATTCTTCAAATTATAATATTCATCACTTCAATTAGATATGCTTGTCCTGTTGATAGCGCTCAGAAACACCGACTGCATTTCTTGCAAAAGAGTAAGGTCCATCTTTCTCCACCCCCGCTAAAAGGGAAGTTGGAGCATCTTACAAGTAGATACTTACAGGATAGGGTATAAACAAGACTAATATCTACCTTTTTTTTAAACTCTTGATTCCTTTTTTCTCTCGAGTGTAAACCGGACCTATGTCTACCTTTTTCTCTCGAGTGTAAACCGGGCCTATGTCTAACTTTTTACACGAGTGTAAACCGGATCTATGTCAAGCTTTTGACACGAGTGTAAACCGGACCTATGACTACATTTTGACTAAACTGAACCTATGTCTACCTTTTTTCTCTCAAGTGTATGTCTAGCTTTTGACATGAGTGTAAACCAGTCGTCTGTCTACCTTTTTCTCTCGAGGATAAAACGGACCTGTCTAGCTTTTGACTCTGCTGTAAACCGGACCTATGTCGATCATTTTATTCTAGTTTAAACCCATTTCTATTTATCTATTGTAATTTTTGTCTTATAAAACTTATATTCAATATTAGATAATCCATCAGGTGTTGATATGTTGTTAAATTAACCAACCCAACCTAGAAAAAAATATATGCAAAAAAAAAAAAAACCAAAAAAAACCAACGAATAATCAATTTATAACTGTATTTTCAGTCTATAGATTTTAAGAAATCGGGCTGAGAACTTTTGCATGTACCTCCTATTATGACTCCATTTGGGAAAGAGAGGTGTACTTATTTTTTTAAAATAACGACCTGGAGATAAAATCGCTGGGTGACGAAAAAAATCTTACCTGTATTCCATGTGGCTAACCGAATAAAGACGAAGAATATATTCTCTTGATTTTCCGGGTATCTGAGTGGATGGTACAAGGAGGTAGTGACCCGGATCGAGGAAGAATCGACCGGACGTCTCACGATATTCGGCATATGTTTCTTCGTTCTCAGGCATTAAAGGATCGGTCGTGTCGAAAAACATTTTCCCGGCTAAGGTTTCGAGAGATTCTGTTAGCTTAAAAATTCAAAAGAGAAAACCAAAATATAAATAGATATGTCTCTTTTCAAATTAAAACCTTTTAAATAAAAAAATA